TCTTGTCAGTTGCAGTAATGTCCTTCTTGCAGGCAGCGGACAAAATTCATCTGTACTGAAAGGCAGTGAAAAGCAGGCTTTGAGATCTTTGCTCCATCCACAAGATGTCCTGTTGCAATCAGACTCCATCTCACTCAATATTTGGAGCTCAATGCCCCTTCCCCTCGGCCCCTAGCTGTCCGTGTATTCCTCATGCAAACATCGCCTTGGAAGGCGGGGGCGGGCTAGGGGGCATTTGTTCTGCTTTATTCATCCCATTCTCTCCTCCTATTATCGCCCCTTCTTCATCTTGAATAGCATCCATTACTCTGGCTTCATCTCTGTATCATTCTGAGGAGTGATAACTCCTTGATTGTAATAAGGAAATCTCAGGATGTCATTATTCTAAGAGTGTGTCTATCCCATTTTCTTTTCTAGATTAAATCAAGAAATTTCAAGATTCTTCTTCATTCTGAAAAACATCCATTACTCTGGCTTCATCTCTGTATCATTCTGAGGAGTGATAACTCCTCTATTGTAATAAGGAAATCTCAAGATGTCATTATTCTAAGAGTGCGTCTATCCCATTTTCTTTTCTAGATTAAATCAAGAATTTCATGATTCTTCTTCATCCTGAAAAACATCCATTACTCTGGCTTCATCTCTGTATCATTTTGAGGAGTGATAACTCCTTGATTGTAATAAGGAAATCTCAGGATATCATTATTCTAAGAGTGTGTCTATCCCATTTTCTTTTCTGGATTAAATCAGGAAATTTCAAGATTCTTCTTCATTCTGAAAAACATCCATTACTCTGGCTTCATCTCTGTATCATTCTGAAGAGTGATAACTCCTCTATTGTAATAAGGAAATCTCAAGATGTCATTATTCTAAGAGTGCGTCTATCCCATTTTCTTTTCTAGATTAAATCAAGAATTTCATGATTCTTCTTCATCCTGAAAAACATCCATTACTCTGGCTTCATCTCTGTATCATTTTGAGGAGTGATAACTCCTTGATTGTAATAAGGAAATCTCAGGATATCATTATTCTAAGAGTGTGTCTATCCCATTTTCTTTTCTGGATTAAATCAGGAAATTTCAAGATTCTTCTTCATTCTGAAAAACATCCATTACTCTGGCTTCATCTCTGTATCATTTTGAGGAGTGATAACTCGTTGATTGTAATAATGAAAGCTCAATACATTATCGTTTCAAGAGTGGGTCCATCCCATTTTTATTTCTGGATTAAATCAAGAACTTCACATGATTCTTCTTCATCCTGAATAGCATCCATTACTTTGACTTCATCTCTGTAACATATTAAGGAGTGATAAGGAAAGCTCAGGATGTCATCGTTCTAAGAGTGTGTCTATTCTCTTCTTCTTGGGCCCCTACAGGTTACCACATTTTGTGATTGAATTTGAAAATAACTTTGTATGGATGCACCTTCAGTTTCTTTCAAAGCTAAAACGCATTGATAGTTACAAAACCTGCATTGTTTATGTTTGCTTTCTCAAGAAGAGAATGGTTACGTTTGGGTGAAAGCTTGCTTGCTTAGAACCCTTAGCAGTGTATGAGCATTTCTAGGATTGTGAGAAGTCTTCAACCAAATTAATGAAAGACTAACAATTTGTTCTACTCGACACCCACGGATCAAGATATCTAAGAAAGGAAGTCCTACCAGCATAATCATCTCCTAACAAATTCTGCTTTTGCGTACTTGAAAATGCAATATTTTGTACAGAGAATGAGACAATTGCTTCTCGGAATAGTATTTAACACTTCAGATGATTCCAATGACTCAGTATTTTGTGTAAGTGTTCACCTATGCCCTTTTCCTACTAAGAAAAATAAGAAATGCAATTTTATATGTGTTTGTTGTATGTAAGATGACTTAGATGCATATTATCTGGGTGGAATGGGATCTGCAACCTCCACAAGGATAGCAAGATTCTGACACATTCAAATTGTTTTAAATATACTATTTGATATTTTCAAATGGTCCTGAAAGTAATTGAGTTTTGTTTGAAATCTTATAGTGTAGGGAAAATATCACTCAAATTTTGAGGAAAATGATTAATATGTAGTAATGGAAAGTGACTGTTAACTTTCAACAAGTAAGAATTTTAATTGTGCCACAGTACAAATAGAATAATAATAAATAATCACAGATACAATCATAACTAAAAGGGGTAATTTCAGATTAATTCCTTATTATTGTCATCACCCATATAATCCTGCTTCCTATAACATTTTAGAGAGATTTTTTTAACCTTTACTTTCAGAAGTTAAAAGAATTACCTTTTATCTAATGTCTTTGTAAACAAATAATTGTCTAATGAATTGAAAAGAAGTGAAAGGCCTATTTGGCTTCTGCTGATATGAGTAATTTTGATAGTGGTCAGCGGTAAGGAAGATAAAAGAAAAAAGTTGTCATGGTTACAAATATAAACAAACATTGGCAAACTCGTAAAAGACAAAGCTTTTGAGGAGTATTCGTAAAAGTGAGTCAATACTTTAATAGCTTAAATCCTTTTCATTCTTTCTGCTTCATCCACCTATATTGGTCACAATGATCATGTGGTTTAGAATACAAAAGAAAGCTTTTTTAAAGAATTGGTAAAGGTAGCACTTCATTTGCGTTAAATAGAAGATGAATTGTGAAGAGATTAATGAAAGTGGTGAGGGAAGAATTCAGATGTATATATGGACAGAAGACAATTTTCACTTGTGATATCCAAACAGCAGTACAATATATATTAAAGTCAAACCTGCTTTAGCGCCCACCTGAATATATAAGAATTACATTTCTATTTCCCTTGAAACAATGATTATTTTTTAAATAAGTGCTAAAGGAAACCTGTTTAGAAAGACCACCTCCCTACAAAGACCACTTTTTGTGGTCCCCATGGGTGGTCTTTCTATACAGGTTTCACTGTATATCATGAACAGAGAAACTAAAGAATATTAAACTGTGGAATGAAGACAGCATTGATGGTTCCTTTTCTAAAATCTAGCTTACGATTAATGTTGGGTATTTTTAATCATTATAATTAATTAATATAGGTGTGAATGAGTGGAATATTGAACCTTCGAGAGTCAGGATGAGGGGAAGGGGCATTTCTTAAATTTTAATGAAGATAGAAGTTTAGGGAGTAGTCATTATGAAAAAGAGCAGAGTGACTAGAAAGAAAGCGAGGGAGAACTGAAAAATAGTGAGGGGGGGGGGGACTCAGGGACTGAGAGAAACAGAGAGAGACAGAGAGAGAAAGAGAGAGATTAGCATTTTCCTCAGAAGTTTCATTGTATCTCTGCCTATTGTAATTCCATACTACTTCAGTGACGTAAAGTGAAAGAATTCCCACCAACATCGGAGTGAAGTGGTTACCCCAAGAATGACTTCAAAGTTTGCTTCTTGCTTCAATGAGTAGAATCAAGTCATGAGTCATACATCTATCCGGTATCCGCCCTCATTTTTTTAATAAATAAAAACAAGAGTTGTATCCACCAAGGCCCCTACATTTTTTGTTGTTGCGATATTGATCTCTTCAACAGGGCTCAATTCTGGCTTTTGAAGTTAAAGCCCATTTCTATTTTTGGTAAGCATATAAAACACTTTGCCAGATTTGTTTGGTTTTAGTTGATAAAAATATGGAATCTGTCAAAGTGTATTATATGCTTACCAAACTAGAAATGGGCTGTATCTTCAAAAGCCAGAATAGAGCCCTATACTAACAAGCTATTGTAAAATCATAATCAATATCATCTTCTTCTTCTTCTCCTCCTCCTCCTTCTCCTTCTTCTCCTTCTCTTTCTTCTTCTCTTTCTCCTTCTCCTTCTCTTTCTCTTTCTCTTTCTCCTCCTTCTGTGGCATATCTTAATGGAAAAAGCATTTTAATGTAGGGTTACCATGATTTTTTTCTTTTTTTGGGGGGGGGGGGAGACAGTTACCATAGAGTCCTCTTTGTGCCACTCTGTGACTACCAGGAGTCCAAAATACTTTCCAAAATGGGTCAGGTATGGAACAGAAATCAATCATAAAAAATAACTTATATGGCTTTCTTTCGTGAAAAAGTGTGTTCCTTTTTATCATTAGGTGTGATGTTTATATTGGCGAGAAATTGAATTAACCTCACCTTCAGAACAGAGATGTCTCGATCTGCTCAGCATATAATTGTTATCCGAATTAATGGTACATAACCTTGGCGTTAGTGGGATATATGCTCTATTCTAAGTCTTCTTAGCCTTTATACTGTTCTCTTTTCTCCTAATCTTTTCTTTAGCCACCCACGGTTAATGTCTGTTCTTATATTGTTGTTCAATGTCACCCTTGTCGATCCCCTAATACCGTTGCACATACCTTCTTATTTTTTATGTGCGCCCCTATTTTTTTCCTTCATTTCTTTAGTTTTTTGGGGGGAGGGAGGAGCTAGGAGCAGGGAAATTGTATTGTATAGTAGGGCAAGAAAATGACAGATTCCAAGATGAACTAGCTAGATTTGAGATAGGAAAACTTGAAAAAATCATTTCATAATGTAATAATTCTACCATTACTTTTTCTTTTACATGACTTATGTACATATATATATATATATATATATATATCTTTAGTATGTCTCTGTTTACACTTCAACCTTTTTAATGTTCATATAACAGAATTCAAGACAAGTTCATGATACGTTGATGTTTATGTAACTTGAAAATGTAAAACATTTTGACATGATCAAGGAAGTTTCTTTAACTCTTTAAGGAGATTAACTGTAAGTATAAGTAGCTCACATGTCTTTTCTGTGGGAAGGTGTCGTTAGCTGCCTGAAATAAAGCAAATGACCCCACCATTAGTTAAAGAACTAAAGGTTGAATACCCTCCTAAGCGATTTCCATATTAAGCAATCGCCTACTGGAAATGGTTGGACCATGGGTGGACCATGGGTGGACCCTGTATTTAAGCGTAGGGGAATGAGAGGATTCAGGAGTTAAGGGGTTAAGGAATGAAATCTTCTGTGTATAGCATGGCTTGAGATGGGTTGAATATAAGAGGAAGCATTTCCAGTGTCTTTTTATTCAGCTTTGTCCACCGGTTGGCTTCCTTCGCAAATACGTGCGAGGAGAGTGGGTGATAGAGCAAGAGAGAAAGCGAGAGAGGAAGGGAGAGGGGAAAAGAGAAGAGTCTCTCTTTGTGATCATTGATGCATCCAATCACTTTCTGTGGTGAAGTACAGTGTATAGATTCACCTACAGAGGGTCATTGTGTCGTTTTTTGTTGGCAGAGACTTAAACCAGAAGCTTAGTGCTTGGGATAAGAGGCCAAGGAACGTAATGAAGAAGAAAAGCTCGGTGAATCTGAAGAAGAAAAGTAACTGATAAAGAGAGGGAGAGAGAGAGAGAGAGAGAGAGAGAGAGAGATGAGGCAGTGATTGGATTGTGAAGTTGCTGAGAGCAAAGAGATCTCTTTGCTGAGAGTGTGTCTTTTCACATGCATATACAAGGCATCAGGGTGCTAATGTTTGCGTTTCCTCTGAGCGGGGAGACACTGGATGGAATAGTATTGGGAGTATCGGTGGTCGTGCTTCCTTGCATAGTTTGTTGATTAACACAAGAAGGAGAGTACGTGGGGTAGAACTTTCCTAGGAGACCGTACTCCACACGATGCAACTCCTTTAGCGCTGCCTAGATCAAGTGTATTGTCAGTATTTTTGTTGGAAGACGGTTGCAATTCCCTGAACTGCGTGGAGCTGGGTCAGAGACACTTGTTGGCTTCATATTCTGACAGCGTGTCGTGTTTTCCTTCAAATATATCGAGAGAAGAGGAAAAAATGTTTTGTGGTCACTTCACAGCTTGAGTTCTCAGCGAGGAAACTAGGTTGGAGGGACCCGACCCTTGCGAAGCTCCTCCCAAGAATTGTCTCTCCAACAATGACAGTGATGTCAAGTTCAGATAGCTTGCAATCTTGTTTGTGGTGCTAGGATCTGAACTCATGCATAGGATTTCACAATAGATCCTATGCATGCAGTGTAGACCTCTGACAGTTTAAAGTGTAGAAAAGAGGAGTACGGTGGATTACTATTTGATATTGACTAACTTGGAAGGTTTACATTTGGAACTTTACCACTACCTCAAGTTTTGATGAACTCCTTTAGTTATGGTAAGTGTCTTCTTATTTAATAGACTGAAATCCTTTTGAATGTAGCATATTTTGCACATTATTAGCAAGGTGCAAGTTTCTTATCGAAATTGAAATAGCTATTGAATATTTATTGGTTCCCACTGTAGTCAACAAAGATAATATGTTGGTAACTTTTAAAAGAAACTTTTCATTCATACTCAAGATAGTAGTACAAATACCGCAGATCACACACAAAGGTATGTAAAAAAAAAAAAGTGGCAGGTATGGCCCACAGCAATGAATTTACCAAAGCAGGGCCTTATACAGATAAACATAAAACATAACGTTGTATAGATACGATACATAGTTCAAATGAAATATTACCTGAAAAAAATTATTTTACAAAAATAAATGGGATATAATAAGTATGTGTTTTTGGTAGGTATAATATAAGTATTACTGTAAAATATTTATGTATTGCTTATTTTATGATTGTTGTTAAAAAACAAGAAATTCTATTTTTTTAATGAATATTTAGCATCTGGATCTCCATACATTTAGTACCTTAATTCAGACTCAATTTATTTAACAATGTGATAAATATTACTATTTTGACCTAACCACAAAGAATAGCATAAATATGTTCTCCTTCAGATATATTTTGTTGCAACTGGCAGAAAGAACATTATCTTATGAACCAACTTAATATTGTCGGTTGAGAGCCAGAAGGGTGTTATTAACTCATATACCGGTACTTTAATACAGATTTAATGTCCTTCTGGTTCTCGATGGATTGTATGACTAAATTGAAAATAATGAGTTCTTCCGTCTACATATAGTGTTATTCCTACTTTCTCTATTAGTTTGCCTATATTTTCTTTCTTTCTCTCTCTCTCTCTCTCTCTTTCTCTCTCTCTCTCTTTCTCTCTCTCTCTTTCTCTCTCTTGAAGACATCTGTATTGTTGTAGGAGAAATAATAGGACACAGACTTGCTGAAAAGCAGTCTTTTTAGACTGATGTGAGTTTTACCGTGAATAAATAAATTCAATTCAATTCAAAAGCTTTTTAGTAAAATAGCTAGGAGTCACATAAACACTCACTAAATTACACAAATGCCAAATGGTATGGAAGAAAAACATGTTTGCCAGTTATGTGGCTTTACCAAATTGAAAAAAACATTGCCCGAATTGTGAAAATGTGAATAGTACTGGAGGTTTTATGCCATATCCATTTCAACCTGTGGTTCTTTTATGGACCTCCATGTTACTGGAAGAAGCACTGTTGTGGTTTCCTAGCTCAATGAATCCTGATAATGTCTTGAGTCATCCAGAAGACTTTGATTAGAATGACATTGATCCTTTGTCATGCAAAGAAGGCCAGAACATGGGCATGAGAAAGGAAAGAGACTGAGCGTCTTTTGCTATGGTAATCTCACCTGATTTCAATTTGTATCTAGTTCATCAGGCAGCTGAAACAGACCTAATGTTTATACTGTCTAGTGCTGTTTTGCTTTTTAAAAACAGAAAGGCTCTTCTATCTTCTTTAGATTAAGACATATTTATGAATTATGAAATGAGATCATAGAAAAATAACTTATTTTATGATGAAGATAAACTGTAATATTTCTGATTGAAAAAAGTAACTCCCAAATGTTCCTTGCAATATATTTGTGAAGTTGCTGGCACCATGTGGATTAAAAAGATGATTTGATAGATCATGAAATTATATTGAATTTTAAGCTTTGATTGTTGTAAAAATTTAGATAAATATGGCCCATTTGAATATTTGTTTTCCTCAAACAGGCTATTGTATTTTAATTTGCTTTCACAAAATGTGAGAGTATTATTGACAAACTTCAATTTGAATCCAATCTTATTTATTTGATATTAGTGGTTCAAATATAGAAAAATATTTTCCTTCCTTTGAAATTGGGTTCATGATGTGTAACCTTAGATATCACTGAAGGATATTGCACCATGATGAAGAAAGGCATTTTGTGATTGAAAACTCTACCATTTGTGATATTGGCCTACTTGCCTATAAAACGGAGGTAGGCAGAGTTTTTTTTTTTTTTTTTTTTTTTTGGGGGGGGGGGGGGGGGTCGACTGCAATCTTCAAACATAATTTCTTATTTAATTGGCCATGCTTAGTTATATGAGGTAAAATCTGGGAAGAAAATAATCTGAGGAAGAGAAGAAAAAAAGTAGTGATAAAAAGACATTCCACAGACAATAAGCATATACAAGGAAGCAACTTTGGCAGTTTGTTAATATGTCTGAAGATTTAGCTCGTGTTATCCTAAGTACTTTGCTAATGATGTCAGACTTTACTACTTTACACCCAAAATTGCAGGGGTACATCCAAATCCTAAGAGTAAGCCCATATTTAAGAGGTGATAGGCAAAACAGGTGAAAAAAACTGATCCTTTTAAACCCAATTTGTTGATTATTTCCTGGTCACTATACGATCATGGAAAAGGAAACTAGATTTGATTATTTTTTTCTCACTTTCATAACAAAGTGCTGTCCTTATCCTTTCTTTATCTCTCCGTCTTCTTTTATTTGACTATCTTTTGTTCCTAGCATGTTCCTCATCATTATATGTCTTCCTCGATACCGTTTCCTCATGTTCTTCCTCCTTTTTTGTGTAGGTATAAGAATTTTGCTTTATCATTTTTTGGTACAATTTCAAGTCATTCAGTGTTCCAATAACCAAATGGACTGACATGCATCGTCTTTGCAGGTGCCATATCCTTTTAGATATTCTAGTTAATTCAATTTCAGAATTTAGAAAAGATACTCTGTATTATAATACCAAGCTTGGCACATTATATGAACTTTATTGTGATTCATACTATAGTGATTTATTATATTGCCAACCTTGCACGATAATTATGATAATGCTATGACACATCAGAAATTTCAGAATGCAGTCCATGTTTTTTTCTACTTTGTTATGGGCAATCTAACCTCTAACAATTATTTTTACCAAAGATATTCAGGTAGATGAAAGTTATTTTTTGTCTTCTGATATTTGAAACGATTTGATATATATTATGAAATTAAATATAGTTTGATATAAAGAAACTTTACACTAATGGACAATAACAAAACTGCATGGTGATTGAAAAAAAATTCTCTGGAAAATTCTGCATTTAATGTTTTTCTACTTGATTTTGGGGACAGGCAAATGCAAGTTTGATGACAAATAACATGGAGCTGATTGCTCATTATCCTGCTGAGTCTGAACAGGAGCCAAGCAAAATGTCACAAGTTTAATTGTGAAAGTGCTTCAAAAAACTATGAATTTTTGTTGATTTACATAGTATAGTACAGTTGTAGAATTATCTGAACTGGCTCTTTAAAATGTATGAACAAATTATGGGATGTTAAAAATAAGTAAACCACAGCAGTTCCTGGATATATCCTTTGAATGTTGCAGTGGTTATAAATCATGTGGAGTTGATTTTGATGATTTGTATTTTTAGAAGTTCAGGGATGGTCCTCGGGAAGGATAAATTTATTTTAAAAGATGAATAAGCAAAGAGAAGGCCCATTTGTCCAGCCCCAAAATCAATTGTAAAAACTATTGTGTTTTGTTTTTTTGACTGCTATTCACACTACTGGAAAAACCACAAAAAACGTTGGAGTTTGCTCATTCTGGTTCAGCATGCATGCATGAATTGCCCTGCTTGCAATCACCTTGCTTTGTGCAAATGTGCACATGTGGCAAACAGGCAACCATGCAGAGAGGCAAAGACAGCAATCAAAGAGTGGTTAAATACAAATAATACCAAAAAATAAAACAAATGAAAGGATAAAATTATGAAATAGCAAAATTGGAATGGTTGCCCACATAAGGTTTTGTATCTTATCAGAAAATCAAATGTATAGATTCATACCCTTCGGCAGTAGGCAAGTACAAAATCAATTTGGATTTGTACACCTTTATCACATGCATTTTCATTTGCTATGATAGTACTGTACAATAAAAAGTTGTATAGGTAAATTCCTAATGATTTGTAGACTAGCCATTAGCAACAAAGAAAATACTTGCCATTCCATAAGGGTAACTCAATTGGCTGTAAACACATGGAAAACAAGCAGATTATGAAATGAAGAGCACTATTCTATAGAGTGTATGGTATCAGTAATACCATTCCCTTATTTAGAAGTTGGTTACTTAAGTAGACTATTAAGTCTTCTTTAATCCTCACCAAGTAGCTACAGGATAAAGTGAAAGGGAGAAGTTATAGGAAAACAAGATTGGAACCTATTTCCTTGTTTACAATAATGTCAGATGTAAGATTGTATCATTTTTGTAATATACTTGTGTTCTTTGCATTGAAGTCATCAAAAATGCCTTACAGTATGCATTTAAAGCCCATATTTATAAAGTTTTGTAAGGCTCCAAGGAGGGGGGGGGGGGTTATTTGTGGTTGAAATTATACTTTTTTTTAAATTACTTTAACATATGTAAGATTGTATCTTTTTGTTATATATATTTGTTACCCCTGCATTGAAGTCAGCAAAATATGCCTTATGTTATGCGTATAAACCCCATATTTATAAAGTTTTGTAAGGCTCCAAACTCCAAAGGAGGGAGGGGGGGGGGTCTGATCTGTATGAGACCTTGTGCTATACAAGGCATTCAAATCATGTTCAAACACAGCCTCCTCTCAGGGTCCATCCACCAACAGAAACAAAACTCACTTCACAGAGTCGAGGCAAACCAAAGTGTTTGATCACCGCTCTTCAAATCACTTGTTAGTTCACAGTGGACAAAACATGATTGTACATGATGTTCTTTGGAGCCAGACATGGTATAATTATTGAGTATCTGTGAATGTCCTTGGTGGAAGCTTTGCCAAAGATGTCACATAAAATGTTTTGTGCAATGGAAGTCCATTGTATGCAGATGAATTGAATGTTTAAAAGCAGATAAGCTAGATCACAAGAGGTGACGTTTTTAGCCTGATAGCAGGAAATAGATGTATTGTTACCATATGTAGATAATGTTGTGTGTAAATTCCTTTGTATTGTCATGTGCCTGGCAAAAGGGCGCAAAAACATGAATAGAAATTTTTGATTATTTGTGTTTGTAATTTAAGGATAAAGGAATAATCTAGAGAAGTTTTTAACATATTACTGTGAACAATTTAGATCCAGACTTTATGCGCTTCTAGTCGAAACACTTTAGAATGCATATTGCTCAGTGGCTGCCGGGCTCACAATCAATTGGGCAAAAAGAATATCCGTTTCGGTTTAATAAAATTTGGAGTGGACTATTAGGCTATTATTATTATTATTTATTATTATGTACATTCACTTAAAGTGCATCTATTTTAAGTCATTTAACAATTACTGAATTTGAAGAAGAGAATTTTTTCTTCTTCCAAGAGTGGGGATTACAACTCTGTTTCTTTGTCTTTATATGAATTTTTTTCTCATAAAAATGGGAACATATCAAGGGAACATTTTCAATTTCATGATGTTTAACATTTTGTAATGATCAAAGTATTCATGATTATATAGTGAAAGCGCATACAATCGTCTAATAACTAGGAGATTCATAAGAACTTTACAAAGTATTTTATCATGGAATCATTTACAGCATCTCCTCCTACCCCTTCCTCATTCCACTTTGACTCATTTCTGCTTATAGTGTTGAAATCAAACATTGATAATCATTGAAATGATTAGCAGTTTCATCAAGTCTTTTAAATTCATTACCATAAAGTTCTTTTCAGCTCTGGAAGTGTAGCTCCCCTCCCCCATTTTCACTTTTCTTTGAAAGGTTGAAATATTTTTTAAATTACTGTCGGGGTCAACTCAACGAGCTTTGACAAAATAGCATTATCTGACCTTTGTCATATTCTTAAAAGCTCTAAAGTAATCCCAATGAAATTCTTTCACTTGTGTTTCACTTTCAGACCCTCACATAAAAGTGGCGGGGAAACTTTTTCATGTAGCAGCTGCCAAGGAAAAAATCATGTCGGTTCTAGACACAAAGGTAAGTGATAAACCATTTAAAATTAGATTGAACAGAAATCCATGATGCTATTCTTTACATAACCTGTAATTCAGCCCTCGAGCCGCGGTTGAATAAACCATTACTACTACTAGTACATACTCCACCTTTTAGATAAACCTGTTACATATATTGGAAATTAATATATTCATGTATTTTATAATTTTAAAGATACTGCAAGAACTACGCACCAAGTGAATTCTCTCGACCATAAACCATTCCTGTAAGCTCAATGTATTAAAGTCACAGAGTATACTCTGAAGATTATGATGTCACATTGTAAAGATATCTTAATAGTATTAATGAAATTGAGGGACTATTGCAATTGATCATAACAATTACTCTTGTGGAGTAACATTCTCTAATCTGTAAAAACTATACCAATCACTCCTATATGTACTACTTTTAGAGTAACCGTGTGACGCTGAAGATGGACGTGTCGTACACGGAGCACTCTCACGTTATTGGCAAAGGGGGCGCCATCATCAAGAGGGTAATGGACGACACCAAGTGCCACATCCACTTCCCGGACTCTAACAGAGGCAGTCAGCAGGAGAAGAGCAACCAGGTCTCCATAGCGGGACAGATTGCTGGCGTGGAGCAAGCACGGGCTAAAATCAGGGTGAGTAATTACTGACATAGGAAAGGATGGTGGATGATGTATTTTTTGTCATTTTGTGTATTCTTGTAAAGTGGTTTCAAAGTTCATTTACCCTAAATCTTCATATTGTTATTCAAAGCCGGGGTAATAATATGATTGCAGGGTCCTCAGAGAGAACAGTGTTAATACTGATGAGGCTACCATGGGTAAACAAGACATGTTGTTGCTGTAAGTATGTATGCAGTGTGACTGAACTAAGATTTGTTTCAGCAATATGGACCTTGATGTTGAATTTGTAAGATTTGATAAACTAACATTTCACAGTGAAACCTTTTTTTAATTTGATGACAAAAAAGTAACACTACTCACCCATCAATCACCCTAAATCAGGATGGATATTTTTTTGAGTGCTCATCTTGGTTAGATGTGGACCTATCTTGTATGCAATGATTTTTGTTCATACTTGAACTTTACTGGAATTTGTTTCAACTTTTCTTTTATGTTCTGATTATTTATGGAAAAATGTACATGTTAATTAAGCTACTACATTTTGAAATATGAAAACAAAAGATTCTCAAAGAAAAGAAGTGTTACTATGAATTTAACATTTGAATTTGCTGATGTATTCCAGACTTTTCAAAATATTTTCTCCTCCAGGAATTACTACCACTAGTGCTAATATTTGAGCTGCCAATTACAATGGGGGCGGTCCCCTCCATGAACTCCCCCATCGTGCAAGAAATAGTACAGACCTACAAGGTTGCTGTCAATATGAAACAAAGGGGCCGGGGCTATTCCACTACAGTGACGGTGAGGGGTGCAGCTAACAACGCCAGAGGGATGAAGGAAGGGACAACCAGGTTAATGGAACATTTGACTGGGGCAGCAGGGGTGAGTAGAGCAATAGGTCAAGTAAGAGCTTGCTGAGAATTGGAATGGAATTGAAATGATGATATCAATGATGATAAAATGAGGAGAATTCCCACCAAAGTTACAACATGTGAATCATGATAATGATTGTTAGAACTAATCTTAGCCATTTTAAGGCTAGTCAAAGTTTATGCATTGATTTTCCAGGCTCCATTGAATTAAGCCAAATGAAGTTTCACTTCATCGAGAGTAATGTGTGTTTAATCCCTGACCTTTGTCTTAATTTTCCAGTCCTAGCCCATATCTGTTAAAGGGGCAGTTATCCCTTTATTGCTTTTATTGCTTCTTTAAAAAGCCAATTCAAAGCATTGGCCAGTAGCCATAGCCTATTTGGAATTGTATGCAGTGCTCTATTAAATTATGTTTCAAATTTTAAACTTGATCTGTTTGTTAATTTTGTCAGGGCACATTACCAATAAGCACACAAATAAAGATCACACAGCCGTACCACCAGTACATGATGCTTCTAAATGCTAGTTATTGGCAACAAAGTAAATTTTTAATATGAAAATCACTCGGGGGAAATTGTACAGTACTTACTATAAACTGTAATATTATAGATAACTTTCAATGCATTATTCACTGTTGATCTACTTGTCTGTTATGTTTGTCAGGGCGCATTACCAGTAAGCACACAGATTGAGATCTCACCACAGCATCATCAATTCATGATGGGACGGGGAGGATTAAACATCAAGCAGATCACTCAGTGTACAGGAGCTAGCATTCACTTTCCTGATCCTAATAGCTCTCAGAAGAAGAGTTCAGTCTTCGTCTCCGGCAGCATCGACTCTGTGATCGTAGCCAGGCATCTGTTGATGGTGAGTGCCCCAACTTCTCTGCTACTGCGTCTTCACGAATAGGGACCTTATTTTCAAGATAATGTCATTTGAACCAAATCCTAGATGATCAAACATAGAGAAATGCTGTTAAAAATGTATTATTGTTTTTGAAAGACTTGACAATTCTGACTAAGATAAATTCAACACTAACACTTTTTTTTTCATCCTATGAGTCTATAGAATCAGTTACATATTAAAAATAATATAAAGTTTGTGTTTGCACAAGCTAATGACCATTGCAAAAATATGTACAGACCATGACATGTCTTTTGAATAATATGGTATGTATTTTTGACAAAGACAGGAATATGATGAGATCAATTAGAGACACTTCATTCAAGATGCACCCAGATAGCTACTTTATGGCATTTTCACCCACAAGTTCTATCTTTTAATCTATAGTCTACCTGAGCCAGGTGGCTCGTGTATTAAAGCCTATGGGAATGATGGCATTCAGTAGTCAATGGGTTAAAGTGAGTGGTATAACACCTGGGGAGGGTTTCACAAAGACTAAGATCGACTTTAAGTTGGACTTAACTATGGCATGTCGTCCCTGCTTTCACCATTGTTGAAGGGAAAAAGTCTTAAATATAACTTAAGATTACAATGTAGATAACTTTTTTCTTCAACAATGAACTATCAACAAACTTAAATTCTATAGATTTGTGACGTCCGTTGAGAGACCAATGGTGAGAGCAACTAGTTGCATGAACGACCTGCCATAGTTAAGTCCAACTTAAAGTCGATCTTAGTGTTTGTGAAACACCCCCCTGATCTTGTGTACGGTGTTTCCTGGTTATCTTGCCATTTACAACAATAAGATCGATTGGCATTCTCATAGCCTCCATATATTCACTGCATATTTCACTAATGAGAAATTTTTATTGTGTGTTACCATGACTACAGGGATGCCTTCCGTTGGTGTTGATGTTTGATATGAGGGAGGAGGTAGAGGTTCATACCACCAAGCTGGCTCAGCTTATGGAACAGCTAGATATCTTCATCAGTATCAAACCAAAACCAAAGCAACCAAACAAAGTAAGTCTAACCTGGAATATATTGCTCTCTTTCCGTTATGATTTTGTTATGTCCATCTCAAGTATTGGACTGCAGGAGAGTTTTAACAAGTTGATATTTGTACAAAATGACTCCTTAGATATCATTTTTAGTGCCTATTTGCCATTTAGATGTACACACTGAAAGAGCACAATTCTTCAAAAGAAATGTAGTTTAATTCTTTTCTAATTCTTGAGGATCTAATTGAGTATTATGATTAATGGTTGTAAAAACAGGGAAGTTGGATTGTATAGTTGAAAGAGCTAGACTTCTGGCAAAAGTGGAAGGATGAAGTGTATCATAAACAAATGAACTTAATTATTTTTTTTAAAGTCTCATCACGGAGTTGTGATCCAAAAATATTCTCCAGACAATAGTCTTCAGTAGATTTGAACATTCAATTTAGTGATTTTTCAGCTGCCAAATACAAATATTGAGTTCTACATTATTTGCATTCCCTTTGACAACCAAGCCTTAGCATGATCCATAACATCAAACCTATGGAATATGTATGTTGTTCAGTGGGCTAAGCGTTGACTTCTGCCTGGAATACTGGACACTGCACATTCCTTTCACCCAGTGCAAATATGACTGACCAGTCCTGACCAGTCAGTGGAATGTTGAGCCTGTTTGAATAGACAGTATTGACTTGTGCAAACACACCCTCTTGCACAACATTCCTTAGCAACGGATACAGTCGAGACCTGCCCATGTGCCCATTGTCATTCAGAGATATGTCTGGGCAGGGAACTCTTTCTTCTCTAATTTGGTTGCATTTATGCAACATATGAGGGAAAAAAATAGTTTTTATGAACATGTTTGATGTAATTCGATTTTCGGTAGAACAATCGTTTGCTAAAGACTTCAGCCCAAGATATCTAGGCTTGTTATTTAATGCAAAGTTATCAAAGATACATAGTACATGTATCAATTTATACATGGTACATAATATCAATTAATTAATAGGAATGTATAAGTGGCTCAGTGGTAAAGTAGTGGTCTTGTAACCGGGAGGTCCTAAGGTTGAAACCAATTTGATGTGCTGGTGCATTAATCCTCATTACCAAGTCCCTCGGAGAGGACTTAAAGCCGTTGGTTCCTTGGTTGCTTAATTACAAGAAAACTCATGCTTTCTTAGTAGTCAGGTAAAACAAACAAACCAACCAACCAAAAATATCATGTTAAGTAACTTGGTGCTGAATTTTCATGTAGAAAGATGTTTACGGTAACAATTCTTTTATCAAATTCAAGTATTTTCATGTTTTCTTCAAAATTCTATCTCAGTCTGTCATCGTGAAGAGCATTGAGAGGAACGCTCCGAACATGTACAGAGCCAGACAGATCCTCTTGGGTCAAGAGTGTGAAAGTTGTGCTGTCAACGCCAATCCCTCCCGTGGCATGAATGGAACATGCCTGCCTGTACATGGATATAATGTGGGCACTGTTGGTAAGGACTGTTCCGTTATCTCATAATGGGGGTATTTGTAATGTTGTTTGTTGCTAACTGCCTTTTTGTGTTTTGTGCTCACTTATTGTATGCATATTACAGCTTCGAGTCATGGCTAACAAGGGGTGATTTATTGATAATCAATGTGGTTTTATCTAACTTTTTTGTTCACTAAATCAAGTTATCACGCCAAAATTCATGTAAAATCATTTATACAAAGCACTTTTAAATTTTGTAATAATTTTTTTAAATTTTACTCAATCCAGATATATAATATGTTGGTTATAAGCTGTAGTTTGAACATAAGCCGTTTCATGCTCAAAATGCACAAATAGTTTCAATGCTACTTGTATTTTCTGGATCCATATTGTAAATCATTTAGTCAAACTCATTCCCATACAATGTTGCTTTTCTGCTGTGATTGTTACTTTATTGCACTTGTTGTAGAAGTCTGTACTGTAGTCTCTCCTCCTTGTATAACTGATCGGGGGTTTGAGGGCGGTCACTGGGTGCTAAGTTCAAATTTAAAGTTTGCTGTGATATATTTTGTGGCACCCTGCACCCCTCTCTGCACCCTCTCCAGGTCTTCTGGGTCACCCCCACCACCAAGGCACCATGCCCGGTCTTACCACGGTCCTCCCCGGTCTTAACGGACTAGCTAACCTTAATAACCGCAATGCACTACACCTCACCAACACGTCCACCACACCAACTCAGTGGACGTTACAGAACATACCTACCAGTCTGGCCTCAGGTTTGAAACAGAGCTCTTTCCTTGGCATGCACCTAAAAGATTTATGATGGACACTTTGCAGTTCCGTCTCAATATAATATTTTGTGTGTGGTTAGAAAGTGATTTAGTACTACATGCAGATGTTCTTATATATGAAGAAATGTATGTTATTATATAAATGTATAAATATGAAGAAAAAACTGTATATTCACAAATGTGTTTGATTTTTTTTTATAAAGAAGCTTCAGTAATATCAATGAGTTACGTTTTTTTTGTAAACCATTGCTCTTTGCATTCTGATTATCTTTGCCTTTGACTATGTATTTATGAAGGAATCGTGATAGAAGTCGATTGGTGATATTTAACTTACATATCTAGGAACTTGATCCTCTTGTTCTGTGCAAAAAATTCTTCATGGATTCTGTTTCTGTTTTGCAGGTTTGACGAATGCAACAATGACTCCAGTACTTGTACAGCAGCCTGTGAATCCTCTCCTGCTGACATCCCCTAGGGGATCCATCAGCTTCACTGCCAATGCTGCATCCAATCCTATAGTCACCAACCCTCGATGTCACCTTCAAATCCCACCGCTGCCACCGTTCCAACCGCTGTACACACCATCCCTAATGTCACTCCCTTGCAGGCAACGCTGCCAACTAACCAGGTTGCTGGCAGTGTTCAAGCTGCAGCGGCCAACCCAACGATGGGTATGCCAACGTTACAGACTGCCCTTCCCACTAGTCCCACAGGTATGCCAGTCCCTCAGGGCTTAGGCTCTGCCAATCAGACAGTTCTGCAGCCTGTTCTTTCTCAAAGTATAGTAGGAAATCCCACCGCTGCCACCAGTATTCAACAGACACCATTACAGATTAGTTCTGCTGCATCCATGCCGCAACCATCGACAACCCAGACACAGGTGTTCCCTACACCTGCATTACTACCTCAACAGACACTTCAGGCCACCATGCAGCAGATGCAAGGTGCCCTCAACCAAGTGCGCGTTCAACAGCAACCTCCTCACCAGATGAACGTCAACACCAGCCTTCCACCTCCACCTCTTCCCCAGGATTTCTTCAACAATCTCAACATGGCCAGTACGGCTGCTTCATCAACGACCCAGCCACCATTCTCCGAAGCATCCTTGTACACGACAACGCCTCACAAGCCGCCTCCGCCCCCAGGGTTCGCCAAGCGCGATCCAATGACATCACAGCTAGCTCAGCTGGAGCTCAACGATATCACTGCTAGAAACCAGTTCACTAGTATGTGCAATAATAACAACCACATGAAGGATTTGATGATGCAGTTGAAAAGCATGCAAATGACACAAGTACCAAATACAGGTATGATTGATATCATCACATATGGCTAAATATATATATATCCATTTTGAAATTATATCTCATTATATATCATTCAAATTAATTATGTATTATTAGTAAGGCGTGAGTTACAAAATGTGTTCACTGGCTGAAATCCTTAAACAATTTCAAAATTCACTTAAGAGGCAACAAAATTGTTGTTAAAAATATATATTGCTTATTGAATCAGACTGCCATACAAGGGTTTCAATGCATTTGATATGATACCCAGATATTTCATGAATTCATGTAATCATTAAAACCATACCAAGCTATGGATAACTTATAATTCATCTGTTTGGAACGAGAAGGGTGTTAACTCAGATAGTTTAACACAGACTTAACACCCTTGTCGCTCTGAACAGACAAATGTATGGTTCATCATGCAAATCTGTTAATCTGTTAATCTGACTTTAAACATTCCACACTTTGTATCTGAGAACGTCACCTAATACTTTCTTTCCTTTCTTATGTCCATTCAGATACACATTACCCGTCCAACCATAGAAGTAGTCAACCCCTGACCCCTAGGGATGCCAGCTCCATTGACCTCATCACCACGGTAACGCCCCCATTGGGTCAGCTGGGTCAGTCCTCCGATCGGAACCTTGATCACAGCGGCAGCAGCAGTGGTCATAGTATGCCTAGAAGTCCTACAAGCTTTGTGGACTTGGTGCTGGCACAGAACAACAACTTATCTCCAAGTAGCAGTCTGAAACTTCAAGTGAGTGAAATACAATCTGTAAAAATGTTTGCAACAATTATGAATCTATTGACAAGAATGCTCAATTATAGAAGAAGTTTGGTGCTGATGCCAAAAAAAGATGTGATGTTCTTGTTGACTATGTTTACATTCACATTGTGGTGGGGAAAGTTGGCTGCTCAGAAATAATATCAGAATCAACAATGTAAGAATCCTCTAAGAATTTGCAATTTGTTATATCCATTTTAAATGAACTCGATTGAGAATATTTGAAATTGGTTTATTTTATATGCTTTATTGAAAAAAGGGCCAGTTTTTGCTTTCAAGCTAAACCGTCATTTTTTTTGGGGGGGGGGGGAGGAGGTGAGTTTATGAATATTACCGGTACTTTCCTTTTAGAATGATTCCATGTGTTCTGTGCTCATTCTGTGAGTTTGTAAATGTTGAAACACTGTTATCTTTTGTCGCAAGTCACGTTCCAAGTGCTCCTCCTATATGCACGCACGGAGTGAATTCATCAAATGTTTTTTTTTTTCTCACCCACCAATCAGAACACAAAGTTCTCACCAAACAACAGCAGCCATGACCTGTCCAGCATGCTGGGCGGAGGTCGAAGGTCACTCACTCCAGACGAATCGTCTGTCTCACTCTTCTCTAACAGCAATGGTAGTGTCACTCTCAAGTAAGTATGCACAACAGGTGATGATATCTAATCTCAAAAAGTTTTGTGTTTATTTGCAATATAGTTTTTACATAGTAGATAGTTACCTGTATGGTGAATCATTTATTCATGTATAATTGCAAAGAGAAATGCTACCCACAGGAAACACCCAGTTTCTGACCCATAGATTTGAATGAGAGGGATTTGTTTCTAATACCTCAAATTAAAACAAAATCCCACACAGTCAACTTCCTCTATTTTCCTTAGTGGGTTTAAGGTGCACTCTAAAAGAATCTTTATTACAACTAAGGTTCAAATATATCTTATGTGCCAAAGATACAGGTGTTGTTTTATACTGAACCATGAGTTTGAAGATGCTATATATAGCAACATAATGTGCACAAATTGAATGATAAATACACTTGTAGTAATATGATATGGTCTTAGTAACCCTGGGTAGCCTAATCGGTATTGATTTCTTCTTATTGAGGGCCCTGCAGTTATGTGACATGAATTAAAGCAAAACTTAGCCGAGCTACATATACATTATAAGACACTCGCATTCATAGAATTTCATAACTTTATACAATTTTTCCTTTTTGTAGTGGATACGGTACAAGGTCTTCCGAGTCGGGATGCGATTCCGACAGCTCCGACAAGCGAGCTCCAGGTTGTGAGAGGAGAGAGAGGAGACGGGAGAGGGAGCTAGAGCAGGAGCAGCAGGAGAACCAGGAGGGAGGAGACCCCAAGGAGCTCCAGTCTGCTCCATATGGAGAGGACTATGACCAGAAGAAGTTCCTGGCAACTAAAGGTATTGAGGATGATATGCCTAATGTTTCCTTAACCCATTGCCCACCGAAGCTGGGTGGCTCCTGTGTTAAAGTCTATGGGAATGGAAGAATTCAGTAGTGAATGTATTAAAATCAAATAAGAAAAGTGCATAGATGTATAATTTCACAGTTTATAATCATCACAAATATCTTACATGTGGTCATGGAGAATTTCTATTTGATGTTATGAATTGAATGGTAATCGTTCATTTGCAGGTATTGGCAAATGTGTTCCCATGACATATTTGATAGCACACAACTGCAGCTCAACATAATACCGTAATGTTAAAATGTGGGCAGAGGTGTTTCCTAGAATAGAATTTCTTTTTTGAAAAATTAATGAATAACTGGAGGCAGAAGTGTTATGAGATTATCATACAGAATTATGGGACGGGCCATATGTTATATCCTCTACAAAGAAATTTCTTTGAAATGGATGGATTTACTGTGAGCCATTTGGCCCCATATTGTAAATGAAACACACTTCAATAATAATATTAAAATTTCTTTGAAATGGATAGATTTACTGATAGCCATTCTGCCCCATATTGTAAATGGTACACACTTTCACCACAATGTATCTTTGTTGCTTAGCTATGAAGAAGAAGCCAGTGGTTCCAGAGGTTCGTGTCCCTACTGATCTATGGAGTGGTCTAGGATTCTCCAAATCAATGCCAGAGTCAGCCATCAGAGAGGCAAGGAGGACCAATGGCTTCTCTCTCTTCCAGATGGATTCTAATCCACTCCCTACAACATATGAGGTATAAAAGTGATCGTAGCTAACGTCTTTGCATGTTGATACTGTTTTGGCTTGTCTATCTATTCTCATATTTGCCCTTGTCTGTTCTTCTGTCTAATTTTTCAGATGTCTCAAGACACATCAACGTCAAACTTTACTACCTTAGCGAGATTACATTATTGAGTTTGAGAAGTAAATTGTAATCATTAAATACATTATTAAGTTTGAGAAGTAAATTGTTATCATTAATTATGTCAGTGAGGACGATTTACATAAAAAGAAGGGCTTAGTTGTGTACCAAGATCAACTTTCTCTTAAATCAATATAAACACAGATTACTAAATCTCTTCATGAGCTGTGAGGAAAATAATTGACTTGAATGAAGTATAAGTGAGATATAATTAGAATTCAAAATGCACCTTTCTTGAATATAAATCTGAATATGCAATTTTCTCTTTCAGACACCAAACCAAGAAGGCGGTGAACATTTAGAGGCTCCTTCCTCATCAACCACCACCTCGACCACCAGCACATGGCCTCCTGACAGGTTGAATGGGGATCCTCCTCCCATCGATGCCCCTAATAATGGCTTTGACTCCACACCAGGCTATGTCAAGAAGAAGAAAAGTAAGAACCAAAAATACTACCAAATTTTCTGGCGTAAAGGCTGCAACGATTCACATAATATGAGATGTCAAAGTCAGGGTGTGGCAGCGGTGGGATATCCTACTATACTTGACTGTACAGAAGCTGCATCTGGATTCCCTTGAGAAAGAACAGGCTGCAGAACTGTCTGATTGGCAGAGCCTAAGCCCTGAGGGACCTGCATACCTGTGGGATTTAATTAATTTTCAAGATGATGTTGATATTGATGATGATGATGATGATGATGATGATGATGACAAGGTTGATGAGGGAGTCCACTAATGTTTTAGCTTATGAATATGGTGATGGTTGATGGTAGTGACAATGGTAGCTATGATATTGACAAGGACGAAGACGATGTTGATGATGATCGTAGTGATAATGATGATGATGATGGTAACAATGATGATAATGATGACTTTGCTCCCAGTGATTTTATATATTCATTTACAAGTTCTCCCAAACTCAATTCTTTCATTTTTCATCCCTTCTTGCAGCTACATTCAGTGACGTAAGCTGCAGTAGCTACATTGAGAGTACAACGTTGCCCAAGTCAAGCAAGGGATTGTGGACTGCGAATGACCTCAACGCTTCCCTCTCATCCCGACCTGACCTCGGTGACATCTTCATGAACCTTGGCCTTGGAAAATATACAGATGTCTTTCAGCAGCAAGAGGTACATTAAGATTTCTCATTTACTTTTTTTTTAATTTTAAATATTTATTTGTTTTACATGACTGCTAAGAAAGCATGTGTATGCTTGTAAGTAAGCGACCAGGGGACTGACGGCTTTAAGTCTTCTTTGAGGAACTTGGTAATGAGGATTAATGCCTTACCAAAGAGCACTAGCACATCGACTAGTTTCCGAGCCCCAGACCTCCCGGTTATGAGACCACTGCTCTACCACTGAGCCATAGTGCCTCCTCCGTGTTTGTTATACCCAGATTGCACTAACATTAACATTCTTAATAACTAGTTTTCCTGATTTAGTGAGGTGGAAGGAGGCAATTAAACTACAATTAAGATTTTAAACATCTCACCAAAGTATTGCAAGAATGAATTGTAGCAAAGGCTTCAATTTTAAACTTTGCTAAATAACATCAATTTTCAAGTCTAATTTTAAACTTGGTTGCGTGGTACAGGTTCATGCTCTAAAGGGTGTCTAGGACATCTTTCAACCCACTTCCATTCAAAATGCATGGCACTGTATGTGACTTATTATCATCTCTTTTCCAGATTGATCTGTCAACATTCCTCACACTCACCGATAGAGACCTAAAAGAGCTTGGAATCACAACCTTTGGAGCAAGGAGAAAGATGTTACTCGCTATATCAGGTAAGATCAGTATCCCTATTAAAAAAATATATTATTTTCATCTACTTATCTCTTTGCCCGTAGGTGTGCATGTGTATGGTTTTAAGTTTTAATGCCTTCCTCAGATTAGTGGCCATTTGCAAATTACCTAATAACTGCTCATTTTGTTGATGAATTTATAATGAATCCAGGTACAGGTATCATAATTGATTGTAAGTGATATTTTTTTCCTCTTGTATTTTGCAATATGCGGTTTTTTTTATAAGGAAATAAATGAAAAGGTATAAAATGTAATATAATAGTAAAGAGAGATTTATGTATGCTTTGATTTGCAGATCTCAACAAAACCAATAAGGATTCCCTCACCACCCAGACATCCATTGCCAATCAGGGTTTCCATGGCAACACACCCAGCAACGGTTTCATTGCAGGACAGTCCAGTCAACACCCTACGTCGTGTTGGTAGTGAGTAGAGACCAGCTGGTTAGGGTGCCATGGTCGTCATGACAATCGTAGATTCAGCAATAACTTTGAGGCTCTCTAGCTTGGTGAGGTTCAGCAACATAAATTGCTCCATCCGGTGTGACAATCAAACCTGCTTTAGCGACAACCTGTATAAAACGACCATCTGTCTATAAAGACGTTTTATTTTTCATCTCCCTTGAAACTTGTTCTCCTTGAAACTTTGTTCTCATCGAAACCTGAACTAAAGGAACCTGTATGCAAAGACCACCTGCCTACAAAGACCCCCTTTTCTCTACTTGTCTCCCTTGAGTGGTCTATGGTTTCACTGTACAATATTGTTGTTTTCTTTTTCAAGTCCGAGGCTTCATCACTTAGTGGTACAGCAGAGGTCTCATAAACAAAAGGTTCTGGATTTGAAGCAAAATGGATGTGCATGAGTGCCTTTGGGTAATGTGTTGTTTGTTTTACAGTTCCTGTAGGTAATTGGTTATTTGTTATTCAAGAACATGACAGTTATTACATTTTGGCAGAAGCAACTTTTCCATATATTCAAGCATTTAGAAGCAAGTATTATATGCTTTGAAAATTGAAAATATGTTTCATATTTTTTTATTTTCACATTTGTTCTCAGGTTGTTGTTTTTTGTATTCAAGCTGAACTTTTATCTAAGTGGGCTGAATATATTAAAGGATTGAAACAAAGTTCCAAGAGTGCCGTATGGATTTTCAAAGATATGAGACCAGCGTGTGTTTTTTTCTTCCTCAAAGTGTGCCTTACATTTGCAAGAATATTAGACAAACTTATTTCATCATGCTTCCAAGACATTGGAGAGATTGTGACCTTAATTTTAAAACTTCTATATACATGTATTTCTGTATATGAGAAGTTTTAAAAAAAAGCACTTCCAATAAATGTTACATCACTATCACCTTGGTATTTTTGTACATTAGTTAAAGTCATCAGGACATTATAGATGAAGAAAAAGAGAAACGATTTGTTTTAGAAATTATCTGCCTTGTAGTTATTTTGATCAGTATACATGCATACAGGTTTGTGCACTGAAAAGCAGAATATGTATTCTATTTTCTTAGAATTATATTAGTGAAGACAAAAATTGTATTCATATAAATGCATTCACCACATTTACGTTATACACATTGTTCTCAAACTGAAGATTTGGGATGAGCTTGCTCAGAGCAAGATCTTTTTGACGATCATTTTTATTTCATTTATACATTCATAAAGACTACCTTGTATGACAATCAGTATTTTGTGTTTGGGCTTGGTATAAATTTCATGGGAATTGCCAGATAAAAACTAAAATCCATTTACTTTTAGTCACTGAAATTTGTTCTATATTTCAAATTGACTTCTAGCTATCTTTTTATGAAAATAGAAATGTAGAAATGCATCTTTTACTAAAAAAATTACTGCTCTTTATCTATTTATAAATAGGCCTACACCTATACACTATACCCTCATATGGACTTTTTTGAAGTATTTTTTATTTAATTACCTCAATCATTGGCATTAGAATTTGGAGATTCATTGAAATATACGGAAGTCGTGTTGGACAAAGAAACTTTAGTTGTGGTTGGAAGCATAAATTTGGACGTGACAAATTTTAGTCAGAATTAAAGGGATAACTTGTGTTTTCGTGTATTAAGCTTTACCTTTAAGAAAAAGATTCAATTGACTTGAAGATGCTATATTGTATTTTTCTAGCCCTCCTCCCTTTTTTTAATTGGCTGATTATTGTAATGTGTGCTGGCGTGCATTACTTAGTCCTTCCCACTTTTTAGACAAGAACATATTCAACGATGTCTTATCACTGATAACTTAGTATTTAATGCTCTAAGATGTGCCTATTGCATATATTTATACCACAAAGTGCTCTTTCTACATGTATGTTAAAGTAATAATTATGATACTTTTGTTCTTTAGAATGAGGAATGAGAAGTTTGTTGTAGATAGTAAAATGTTTGAACACTGATCATGAAGAATGAATGTACACATATTTGATTATTGCCAATGAATTATTGGTATTTATTTTAGATTGAATATTTAAGTTATTGATTGATAAATTTAATCTAAGGTAATTATAAACATTTGTGCTCTTTTGCAAGAGAAAAAAAAACTCTTTTCCCGCACAAGAAGTTAATAAAATTATTGTGCTCAATTAATGTAAACTGAGAATTGATATGGACTGAAGTACATATGAAGTATTTATAGTATTTATTTCACCACTATTATAAGAGTATTATCAAAGCAATAGTCATAAAATTGCATATTATATGTGCGCTACAGTTTTTTTTAATTTTCATATTACTGTATGAGAATTTCATAAATTTCATCTGAGGCATTTTTCATAAAACTTTTTTTCAATAACACCAACTGTTTTAAGCTACTGAAATTGTTGCATTTCATTGGCTGCAGAGAGCAAATATTACCTAGAATTCAAGCATTTATTTAATATTGATAACTATTTATTTTGATGAAATTGGGCCCTAGAGTCAAATAATTGAAAATGTCTGTTACATTGTTTACATAACCATAGTTTTGTGGTTTCTATTTGAATTACTGTTATGATTTTGAAATTTTGTTTCACACCTATGCCTGTTGTCCACATGTTTTGAGAGAAAATGCTTTTCACAATTATCGTTTGATAAATTCTCTTCAATGTAAGAAAGGAGAGAAATTAAGATAAAGAAGATGTATTTTTTCACATTATTTTATTAGCCAAACACAGTGAGAGCACTTGTTTTCAAAGATTTAGTTATTCTATTGCAATGGTTTTGCAAGGTTATTGAATGTAAATATAATTTAAGTGACATTTTATTTATCAAATGTTTGTGTGTGTAATCTTTCAGTATTTTTATGCGAGACATTCACAATTTCTTCACTGAATGATGATACAAACGTAAATACATGTATGTACATGTAGTATAAATCCATAACAAGTGTCTATTTTTTTATATTCATGCATTGTTTCATAGGAAAAAGATTTAAATTTTAAAGCAAAAAAAATAGATCAAGGAAGGGCATAAACTGATGGGTATCAGGCATAGTATAAACATTATGTAGGGCACTCAAAGGAAATATGCTTAGTAATCATAACTATATTGACAAAAGAGATGTCTAGCGTTGTACTCCCACGTTGCACCATCTTTTTTTCTATTTTTTCATGCACAAAACATGCAAGACAGATTAATGCATTGATGTTTTGCTCATCAAATACTTAACAAAATTCACCTGAATTGCCTGTGACACACTTTTAAAAGTATTCTTGTTTGCACATTTCTTTTTGACAAAAAATGGAAAATCTATTCATAAAAGCAAAAGTTATTATCTATTAATGGTTGTATGTACGTAAAGCAAAAAAATTAGAAACACAAGTCCCCCGAAAAACATGGTAAAGTTCAACATCTGATGTATTCATAATTGTCTTCCAATTTTATAACAATTTTAGTGCTGTGATATGTTCTTCTCTCACGCTTGATAAAACATATATCAAAATGGAAATAGTTCAAATTTACAGAATTTCCTTCAGATATGTAGTGTTATATATATTTTGTTAAGGTAATTTATAAGACTTATAAAACAAGAATTGCCAAAAAATACCACCTCCACATTTAAACCATTGAGTTTGAGCACATCGTACTTGTATCTTGTAAGTTTGAGTTTATTTCTTTTCAATGTAACAACTTGTTGATGTTAGTTAAACCATGATCAGTTGAGAGTTTCTGTTCATATAACAGTCAGTGAAGATTGTAGATTAGTATTCTGTAATGTAGAGTGACATTGAAAAATTTGAAGAAAAAAAATAATAACTTGGGTCTTGATTATAAATATGCTTCCAAAATGTTAATGGCTTGTAGGACATGGGTTCTATTGGTTGGTTTGTAGAAGAAAATAATTTATTTTAAAAGATTAACTATTAGTTTATAAGCTTCAGATATTATGACATGGATAAAATATTAAAATGTTAATAATATTGAAAAAAGACATGAAAAATAAATGCATACCGTACTCTCATTTTAACTATTGAAACACTGCATTCACTGAAGAAATCATGACAACAAAAACAAGCATTTTGAAATAAATGTAGCATCTTCAGGATGAAAGAAAAGTCAATAGGCCAGTTTCGTAATGTAACCAAATTTAATGCATAAGTCTTTGTGAAGTGCCTCAATACAAATTATTTCATTCACCTGATAAGAATAATAGTATTTCAATAGTTAGAATGCAGCTAAATATATTAAGTGTTGCTAGGTAGGTCAAGCCATAATGTTTGTCCAACCTGGCAACAACTAATGTATGCAGTTCAGATTCTGTCTATTGAAATACTATTATTCTTATCAGGTGAATGAAATAATTTGTATTGAGGCACTTCACAAAGACTTATGCATTAAATTTGGTTACATTACGAAAATGGCCTATTGTAACATTGATGATAAATATTCATAGCTTATTTTTAGTTGTGATGTAAATCTTTCATTTCTAAACATATCGGTCTTATCGGATCATCAAGCAAATTTTATAGCTTATACAGCATTCATGGATGTATCATGTTTTGTCATGGAAATTTGAACATTTGGAAATCATGGGGAACGAGATGACAATGAAAGCAGCATAAAAATAGACTTAAGTACTTGAAAGATTATAACCTTGTATTTATTTTTAAACCAAATGTGATTTCCATGTGGTTCAGTGTGTGATGATTTGTTATGCAAGGAGATTTGTAGCTGCTGCACAAAAGTTCAAGAACAACTTGACAGAAGGCTAGTATATCAAGACAAAATAACTGTTTGATGTTTTATCATATTATTATAATTATTATTACATGTACATGCGAAAAAATCTTTTTAATCAAATCAAGATTATATCAAATGTAAAAGTACTTTTGTTATATTCACTGTCTGTTTGAGAATAATCATTTGAATATCATTCCTATGTACTGTATATGTAATTTCACTTATTGTCGAGTCAAAACAATCATGTATTTTATTATCTATTGTACACTTATTTTTCACAAAATGTATTCAACACAAAGTTGAGCAAATAAAATTCACAAATGCATATTGGTATTTATTGTCATCACTTTGTCTGTAATCTTCTCAAATTAATTATTATGGATAATGTTTGAATATACATTTAACAATAAGGGAAGAACTGTAGAGAAAGAACAACAATGATGGAAATAAGGCACTTAACTTTTATGAAAAGGAATGGAAGAAAAGCATCTTTATGTAACCTACAGTAGCAAAGAGAAGGATATGAGGCAAGATAAGAACCGAACGCTAGCAATCCGTCAGTTTGTGCACAGATGTCAAGAAAAATCTATTATTGTCTAATTTTGTCTGATAGATTAACTAAAACAATTTTGGATCACACTGTTAGTAAAAGTTTAATTTCACAGACATCAAAGTTTGAAAACCAATGTAAAGTGAGACCTGCTCTATTTTATAGCTACTGCTACAGTTTGAATTGATCTGAATTTCATTCTAAAAATTCCATTAAAAAACTCTATAATTCACATTAAACAAAAGAGTCTAGACTCGCATAGACTGATTTATTTTCAGTTTGGAATTGGCTACAATGTATTACATGGATACAGAAAGAGATGTGATTGAGGTATATAAATACGCAACATAAAGATAAAATCTCCAGACAAAGGGGATAATAATAGATGTCAAGGAAGACGAGTAATCAAAAGACTGCTCACATAATAATATTTCCGTAATGATAATAATAATATTCCCCTTTTACATATCGCTTAATACATCTACGATGTCTCTATTTAAAGCGCTTTACAGATATACTATTACCCCGGTCATTGTATTCAATACTTGCCCACACACACTGTGTGCACAATCTCCACTCCCAGGGGAGCATTTTGCTCAAAACTGTACAGCACTTCCTATGAACTTGAAAATGGAACACCTTTCTCAATTCACATGAAACTATACAAGCATTTATACCATCTATTTCATCAACATGGAGGCTTTACTCAGAGGTGCCAACCAGTACGATTATCATATTTTGTACGATTAGAAGAGTGGAATACAATAATACAATATCTTTTTTTATTTTTTTATTTATTATTTTATTTTTTTAAATACCCATAAAAACCACGGAATCGCATTAAAACATGAACAAGTAAACCCCCACAGCCCCAACAAAAACTTTGCTTTACAATTTTCTTTTAAAATTTTGATGAAAGAGCAAACATTTTACTTGACTGTACGTACCTGTACATTTTTCTGAAATTTTACTGGCCTGGGGCCAACCGGCCATTGGTAGTGTTGAGTTTTCGTGAAAATCTGATTTTTCTCTCCAAAATCTGATTTTTTAGGATACTCAGTCTTATCTGTTTTTTTGTGTCAAGAGGTTGGCATCTCTGTTTACTTGATTTTAACCATTCGTAATTAAAGTTGAACATCACATAATAAACAAAAAATCTTCTGATGAGACGTTTTGGTGTTATTTTTGTTCAAACAATACTTCTACTTCTACAAAAATAAAAGGCCTATTTTCAAATATTAAGGATGTTACGGTGGGCAAACGTTTGGCAGTTTCAACGCATGTACCACTATATCTTGTTAAAACTTTTCCTTCTATTAAACAATACATAATCATTGTTACAATCGATTCAAGTTAAATTACATAAAAATATATGCACTCAGTGCCTTTGTTGCAAAATTATGATGAAGGATATCGTCAATGGCACGTTCCGCCATCTTTGTTCTCGATGAGCACACGCATAAAGTCAGCCTGAGATGTACTGAGTGCTAGACTCTCAACTTCGGCATTAAATCCCTCTACTGTGCCTGGTCCACTCATGTATCCTAGCAACCGGGAGGCGCGGGACGACGACAAGAAATCTGCATCTTTGAGATGGAGACTCTCGACGAGGGCATGCTGCTGACGGAGAAAGTACTTCTGATGGTAGCTGTAAAAGAATAGAAAAGATGAAATAGAAAATAAACATACTGTTTCAAGAGTTTGCAATCATTCACTTATAAAAATAAAATTAAACAAACCTAATTTGTCAATCAGGAAATGCTTTAAAAATACAATGCTTCATGAAATCCTTCTCCAAGTTCAACCACAGTTGCAAATCATATATTTAGTCTAAGCGATAGAGAAAATTTTGCTGCATGCATCTGACACATAGATTACAGGTTATCCAGGTTATGATATGACAATTCAAGGTAATTCGTTCATCGAAAGACAGCTGTGTTCCTATTAAAATTTTATATATGGGGATGATTTATTTATACCAAATTAGTTATTTTACTGCACTGGTATATAGAGCTATATCTATTAGGGGGGGATAAGAACATTGGCGAAAAGCCAATCATTCATATCTCACAAAATTTGAAACACTTAAAGAGCTACAGCTTCAACTTTAGATTTTCATCATATATTCTGATACAAGCCTTACATTTTCACTACATTACAAACTCCTAGCAAAGTTAATATGATAAGAAGTAGAAACAGTACAAAAGCTATCTTACTCTTCTGCGGGGTAAAATTGTCCTGCTGGTAAAATCTTTGTCACAAGCTGCGACCCCTCTCCTCGTCTCTTCTGTTCAGCCTGTAATGATGCCTCAGCATGGTGGCGCTGCACGTCGTCGTGATAGAAAATGGCTGACATGTACTGGGGTTTGTACAGCTCTGTCGGATCGTGATCCTGGTGGAATACTTTCAGAAGTGCCCCATAACTTGTCTTGGTTGGATTGAACTCTATTTCTACAGCCTCAGTGTGATCTCCCCTATAGAAGAGAGAAGGATAGGAATTATTGTTTATTTCTAATTTATTCATTGATATCAAAGAGAAAACTGTGGATTGCAGATTCTGGGCCATTTGGCTTATGGTAAGTTTGTGTTTGGTCTGCAGTCGGTTTCTTTGGTGTGATTGAGGTATTAAACTCTGTTAATTTTCTACACTCAGAAAACTTAACCGTTTCCGGTCAGGATTCATTCTTTAGAGCTAAACTGATCACATCTTGCCCTTCAAATTGGCAACAATAATATTTTTCTGTTATTGCTAAATTGTTCTCATAAAATGTAATGTCTCTGAAAACAATATTCATGAGCAGGAACGTTGTTGAAAACTGAAAAATTACATATTTTTGTTGAATAACAATGATTTTGAGTTTCTCAGTGTTCCAGATTTTAGGATCTTAAAGCTTATTTTCCTTTTCAAAATTTCTGAAATCAAATGCAAGTTAGTCATGTATTGTATTGTATTTATTAAACTTCATTGATGTACATCAATATTCTGTTTATAAACATATAATCACTTTACAATGTAATGTAACAATCAATATTCTGTTTGGGAACATAAAAATGGATACAGTATGTGCAAAAAAATTGACCTTTCTACTCATGATCATGGCTGCATCTGGCATATTTGTAGGGCTCTGAATAGAAAGTTATTGAGGCAAACCATAAAATGTGAAATGATTGACCTGAAAGGTTAAATAGAGCTTATATCCTTATAGCCATTCAACTATGAACATGGCGGACAAAGAAAGAGGACAAAATATACAGTTCCTCATTCTACCCTCAACAATTGCTGTGGTTGACAAAGGAACATCCCTTCACTGCTATTATGTAAAAATGTGTATAACAGGTGTCACATGCATATTCACCTGTTCTACACAATTTTACATAATAGCAGTGAAGTGATGTTCTTTTGTCTACCACAGCAATTGCTGCTCAGAGTAGAATGAGGAACTGTATATTTTGTCCTCTGTCTTTGTCCGTCATGTTCATAGTGTCAAGTCATTCAGCTAAACCGTAAAAGGATTTACAAATACAAAACTTACAATATTCTGTAATTGGGGTTATCCAGCTTTCCACCGGTGTAACCTGCCTTCACCCGGACCACACCCGGCAACGCTCCAAAGGATGCCTCTACTCCCCAGAAACATCCCATCCCAAACGTAGCTTTGGTAGTAGAGACGAGTGGCTCAGAGTAAGGCACGGTAGACGGCTCAATCTGGGTGATAAAAATGAAGAGAATAATTCAATTTGTAAGCTGCATATGGTAAGGGACAGAAGTGTCTATCCAAGATCAAGCACATCAATTAAATCAGATACAAGGTAGTCTAGGTTCTTTATGAAACCATCTGTTCATAGCCAGAAGGGGAATTAAATCTGTAAAAATTGTACGAGTTAACTCCATTTTGGCTCCGTTTTAAAACAGATAAAAACTTCATATAATTCAACATAACATAAGACAAATTTGCCCCTTTTCAACCCTCTCTGGGTCTTTGCCTGTCTGTTTGCTTGTGTCTCTCTTTCTCTCTCACACCCCTTCTCAAATGAGTTCTCTGTCCCTCTTTCTCTCTCTCTCTCTCTTTCTCCCCCCTCCCCCCATCCCACCTCTCTTCTTCACATTCACCTTCTCTCTCTCCCTATCTTTCTTTCTCTCTGTGTCTGTATCTCTCTTTCACTTATGACCAATGTTCAATCATAAATTAGCAATCGACAATACAAAATCCATCCATGACTATTACCTTTCTGTATCTCAGGAAACTTTCAGGATCTCCACATCCAGCACCATCTGTTGCCATGGTAACACTCCACATTGAAATTAGCACCCCCATGATGTATACCGTTGCTGTGGCCAATTTGCTGCCAACATTGTAACCCATCATTGTCATGGAAGTCTGCACCATACTTCCGTCCTAAAGTCGTGGGAGCAGGTTCTTCGTCACACCTTGCAGCAGTTCTGTGAAGTCAGAATTATATCAACATTAAAGGAATAGTCGAGTTCTGCTTTCAGACCGCAAACGCCTTGCTCTTATTCTTATCTATGACATATTTCTAGTGCCCTTTTAGAACCTCAAAATTGAAAAACTTATTCACTTTATATTCAAATACACCTGTAACATATATATGGGACACTTACAATCGAACTTTGAACTTTAGAAGGTCTAGTGAAAGACAACAAATATATTGAATAATTTTAGATAACACATGGTGCAACAATGTTACACGACGCTAATCCAGATCATTAAAATCTTCTTTTTTTTTTAATTGGACGAAATCAAGCTCTCCTGCTCAAACCATATTAATGTGACATGTTCTGACAATGTGAAGTATCTTGTTTCACGCCCATTTATAGCAAGTTACCTTTCTTTGGTGTGCTCGTTCACTAGAAGACTTTTATTCAGCCTGTGCCCCCCCCCCCCTCCCACCTCCTTGAAACCCAAGTGGCATACCATGTGGGCACCCAAAATGTGATGACCAGTTTTTGTTTTTTCAATTTTATTTCTCAGAAATTTTGGAACTATCACCTTTGACAAACATACTCAGTATGATACTGACATATGAAACAGCATGCTGACAAGATGTAAATCGCATCTGTTCTGTTGACAAAATAATCCCATTACCATTGATTATACATACACAAGTTGTACACGCAACATATGGCTCAGGAGCTAGGAGAGACACATTGTGACATTACCCACTCAATTCCCAGCTCCAACGCCGGGGCGCTCCCGGGATCTGGAAGTCGTCTACCAGTACCAGCTACAGGCGTATTCTAGCTGGTCTCTATTGAACTTCTATTGCACGTAATGGCGCACAGAATTTCATTTCAGAAAGTTATGAAGGGAATAGACATATTTCTCAAATTATATTTGAATGCGAGAAGCCAAACCTACCTCAAACTTTGTAACAGACAACAGTCGTTTGCTCCAGCCTCAAGTCATGCTCCAATGTGCTGTACACGTTGTTCAATTCGAAACAGGGCTGTGCAGATCTATATAATTTATGTAAACAAAACAATATTGTGCCAAGGTACAAATAAAAATGCCTCGTATATATCCCACATGACACGTAGTATACTTATGATGGGGCGGAAGGTGGAAGAAACAATAATAGGATAAAGGCCGGATGGTGGAGGCCAAGGTGGGAATAGGAGCGCAATATATAGAAAGTGAACAATTTTACACTAAGCTTTGAGATTAAGTAACCCCCCCCCCCCCCCCCCCCCCTCCCCATATGATCCTATATGATGTTCTCCCGCAATTCGACGGATATCGAGATAGGGATAAAAAGAGAGAGAGAGAGGGGGGGGGAGAGGGAGCTAGGAATTAAGAGAGAGAGGGAGAGAGAGAGAGAGAGAGAGAGAGAGAGAGAGAGAGAGAGAAAGAGATGGAGATAGAGAGAAAGATGATGAAGGAAGTGAGAGAGACAGAGAGAGAGAGAGAGAGGGAGAGAGAGAGGGAGAGGGAGAGAAAGAGAGAGAGAGAGAGAGAGAGAGAGAGACCGAGAGAGAGAAAGAGAGAAAGAGAGAGAGAGAGAGAGAGATATAGAGACCGAGAGAGAGAGAGAGAGAGAGAGAGAGAGAGAGAGAGAGAGAGAGAGGGAGGGGGTGGTAGCATGAGTAGGATTGTGGGCGTGTTTTTTTGATTTTTTTTGTTTCAAAATTTAGTTTCACTCTATGATTTGTTCCAGCATATGCTTACTTGTTGTAATACCTGTATTTTTAAACTTTCTTATAATTCAATTTGGAAAAAATAAACAAAACGTCAATGAAGTTGACTTGGCACTTTTTTGATCAGGTGATATGCCTATTAAATAAAATGGTCGCAAAGGTCATTCTTTACTCAATCTGTAGGCACTGCACATCCTCCCATCATAGTTTGCAATACCTTTGATCACCATTATAATTTTGCAAATTTATATACCTCTTTTTTCCTCATTGTTTTTAAAATCCAAGCTGGTACTTTAAACCGTTTTCTGTACTTTAAAACAACGGTGTATTTATTTTTACTTCTTCTCAGATGCCCTCTTCTCTTTCCTGTATCTTCTTCCAATCTCTTTCTCAGTTTCCTTTCTTTTCACTCTCCTTAATTCTACCATACCCTTTCTCATCTGTTGATTTTCAGACTACACACATGCATTTCTCTTTTCTTCATTTTTTCTCAGTCGTTTAATCCTTCCCTTTTCATCCCTCCTTTCCACTCGTCTTTATCATCCCTACACTTTCTTCACCTCTTTCTCATACTCGCTCTTCTTTCTTGGTTCTTTCTCTCTCTCTATCTCAAACAGATATAATAACGTACACTTCATCCATACAACCAAATACAAAATTGTATCACTTTGCCAACACACTCATGTTACCACTCATGGCATCGACAGGCCATGGCCACCCTAATATATACAATACAACTTATCAATCATTTCTTGGGGAATGAACTTTGAAGTTGATTCTTTACATTGGATTACCTAGTTAAAAACCATAGAGGCGATTTCCTGAGAAAATTTGTCTTTTGTTAGATCATATAATGTGGGGTGGCTTCTTCGTAGGTACACAAATCAATAAAACAAACAAGTATATCAAATCTATACATGTGCAAGTCAATTTAATTTTTCTTTTTTTTCTAAAACAAACACTGCACCAGATGATTTTCCACTTACTTTCCAATGTTTGAAGTAAAATCAAATACATGTTAGACTCTTGATTCAACATAAAACTGATCAATACTCCATTTATAAACAGAGATCCTCAAATCCATGATCAAAATGCAATATATACATGATAGGGGTGTGATAACAAAACACGTCTTTCCATCTTAATAATTGAAAAGCGAATTCGGAACAAAATTCCCACAAGCAACACTTTCGTAATTAGCGACATGTGTTGCCAATACTCTACAACATCAAGACTGTATTTGTTAAGTCGAAACATGGCAACTGAACAATAAACATCAAATAAATAAAAAAGATCTTGGTAGAAAGTACTCAAAATAAAGTCAGGCTTAAAATAGGTAGGTGTACACAAGGTTTTGAAAAAAATAAAAGTGGCTTACAATAATTAAGGTAGCAATACGTTGATTTACAATTACTAATAAAAGAAAAATATATTTACTTGGTCCAAGTGCAACAAACATTTACAAACAATTTGACATCAAAGATTTAATATTAGTCTAGTCCAGATTCACAGTAAGAAATCATTGATTATTAAGTTTGTTGTTTTTCTTTCAAAATTAGAACTCGACAGACATTCTTGAACCTTATTCATACATGAAGTGGGTGGGAAATTTTGAAGAGTATTCTAATCAATACAAAATTTTCTAGGTCCACACTTAAACTTACAAAAAGCTCACCTAAGAGTAAATATGGATTTGATTAGAAATGTATCCGATGTTCGAAATTTGTAATGAATGAGATTCGATCATGAATATCTATATACAGTGCTGGTTATCAAGTTAACAAGTTCAGCGTAGGGAAAGAAACACAAAGGATAAAGAGAGACAGATATTGAAGAACAGAACAAACAAGAAAAGTAGAACGATAGGAAGCAGGAGGTGGACTCTACATTGGGTAGTGAACAATTGAGACACAGGCCACTGGAACGATGGATGGCCTTTGATGTACATGATGTTGTCACTTGTAAAGACGACCTTTGACCTTTTGACACACTCTAATAGAAGCTGTTTCCTCCCCTGTTCATGCCCATGCCACCCATGCCAGTTCCAGTGCTAGCCCCGGAGCCATAAAATCCGCTCCCGCCAGAGCCTCCACCACCCATGCCAGAGTTGCCTAAGGAGAAGAAAAAAAGTATGAACAAACAAATAAATAATACAGCAAATCTGTTCACCATTTTGGTAGTATAACCAAATTAAAAGACACATAGAAGTAGGCTCTTGTGGAGAATTTTGATACCATTCGGGCATTTACCCAATAACAGCAGTTGTCAATCATTAGGATTAGCCTTCAATGTTATGAACAACAGGCTTTACGTAATGCTGTCTATTCTCCATATGGTAAAATCTGACATTTGCATTACCCGAAGGCTCTCCAAGAGACGAGGGGGTACTTCTTGATTGCCCTACGCGATTACTGTGTGCAGACTTGCACACCCATTAATGTTATTTCCACCAAGTCTGGTGTCAGCGAATTATGACCTTCTGCATACAGAAACTGAAGACCCACTCCCTTTAAAGGTAAAGACCAGTTATGGTCATGCGATTGCATTGTGAAAGAAACGTTGTGGAATCGATCAGAAAAGGTTGATCATCTAGCATCTAGCATCTGCAAGGTTCTGGAATCATCAAAATGATAAGAAATTTGGCCCATTCTTCATAGTTACAAGCACTATACACAGAAAGATGTTTATGGGACTACCCTATATCTCTCACAGACCATGAGAGAAACAAATTTACCAAATATATGAATTAGTAGGCGGTTTCCCGGCAAATTTTTTATCATCATGTATTAGTCAAAACATATTCTTTCACATGATTGGTAATGAGAGCTTCCATTTCATTTTTTGAAATTGGGGCGTTACCAATACTGGTCTTTACCTTTGAAGGTAAAGACCAGTTATGGTCATGCGATTGCATTGTGAAAGAAACGTTGTGGAATCGATCAGAAAAGGTTGATCATCTAGCATCTAGCATCTGCAAGGTTCTGGAATCTTCAAAATGATAAGAAATTTGGCCCATTCTTCGTAAAGTTACAAGCACTATACACAGAAAGATGTATATGGGACTACCCTATATCTCTCACAGACCATGAGAGAAACAAATTTACCAAATATATGAATTAGAAGGCGGTTTCCCGGCAAATGTATTAGTCAAAACATATTCTTTCACATGATTGGTAATGAGAGCTTCCATTTCATTTTTTGAAATTGGGGCGTTTCCAATACTGGTCTTTACCTTTAATGCCTACAACTTTGTGAAGTGCCTCCTTACAAATTATTTCATTCACCTATTATGTATATTTGTATTTCAATAGTTGGAAAGTGAATTGCATACATTATGTGTGATGTCTGATTCTTACTAGCAACAACTCTCATTTATTTGAATTCTTGCAAATTACAAGAGTTTTAAAAATCATACAATTCCTGGGGGTTTATTCACAAAGACTAAGATCGACTTAGGTTGGACTTAAACTATGGCAAGCCATTCATGCCACTGGTTGCTCTCACCATTGGTCCGAGTCTCAATTAAGATCTTTAGACAATATTTTTTCCTTCAATAATAAACTATCAAAAAATGTAAATTCTGTAGATTTGTGACCAAAATGTGTACGTCCCTTGAGAGACCAATGCTAGGAATGGTTGGAGGAAACAGTGGCATGAACGTACTGCCATAGAAGTCAATCTTAGTCTTTGTGAAAGACCCCCTTGGTTTGGCAAGACAAGGAAATGAGGGGATTACCCTTACCCTTACCATATCCACCACCACCACCGCTGCTGTTGCCGTTGCCAAAGCTGGTGTAGCCGCCACCACCCATACCAGTTCCTCCTATCTGGCTGCTATTGTAACCTCCACCGGCGCTGCTTCCGTAGCTACCTGTTAAGCACAAAGGGTGATGACAAAATGCATGAATGAAACTGAATAATACTCAGGGACATTTCAGATACAAGAGGGTAATCCCTGATGATGAAATGCTGATCGAAATATTGTACTTACATGAATGGAATGAGGCATTAGTTCTTTTATTACTTTTATTTTCTAAGGTGGAGGGGGAAGGGGTTGCAAAATGGCCTCTATGGGCCCCTACGTGCACTCACTGATTTGGGTGGTTTGAAGATATAATAATTACTGATCGCTCTTTTCCTAACCAAGCAGATATTAATTCAGCCACAGTTTCCTATGTTTTTATGTTTAATATGTTTAATATGATGTCACAAGACTTCTCTGGAGGAGCCTGTGCCTATTAAAACGGAAATAGGGCACTAGAGAAATGCTGCGAATCATCAATAATGACATTTTGCTATCATTAATGCAAATTTGCTTTATGATTCCAGAGAGAAATCCAGTTGTGTAAATAGTTATATCACGATCAATGATGGGTAAAATGATGAAAGACCATGAGGTAAACATCCCATACAGAGGCAAGATAAGGGTTTGTCTAAATTAATGGTCAATATTGTGATAACATGATCTGGTGTGCATCACACATGTTAACCACTAAACTGGATAGACCCTAATCCATCGTCCCTGCCAAGAGGGTGGTCCACAAGGGGTTCAAACATGTACCAGCAACAGGTGTGATTTGTTATTGTACAGGTTCAGAAATTTAATCACGACCCAAATTATTTAATTAAGTATTAGTCATAGAATGTGTTTAAAAATGCCTGAAAATATGGATCAGATTGCACCAGAGTGCATCCGAGAGCCTTAGAACGGACCTTGTGCTTTGGATACATCAGTTCATACTCTTCTTCCACGTTCAAACGTGACATGTTTGAATTTTGTTTATGTGGACCACCCCGCAATAAAGTCACCTTCTAACGTACTACTACCTCCTGAATATCCTCCAGAGCTCCCCATGCCACCACCGTATCCTCCTCCTCCTCCACTGCCAACACCACCGGCACCTCCGCCGCCGCTCTCGTCAGTGTTGAGGAACAGCTCGATGTAACGGGGACCCATCTCTGACTTGTGCTTGGTCATGGCTGCCTGGGCGGCCTCAACGGTCTGGAAGTCTGCGTCGGCTTCTCCCGTGGAGCGGCCGTTTACCTTCTGGATGACCACGTTGCAAGGGCTGGCTGTCTGCCCAAAAAACTGAGGTGGAACAAAGAAAGAGAGAGGGGGAGGAGCGTTACAGACAGGGTCTAAGGAATATTTTGTACGATATGGATCATGTATTCTGGATAATTTATGGAATGATATTGACAGGACTTACTATCAGAACTGGCGGTCAAAAGGATAATGTGAGAAAAGAATAGAGAAAGAGATGGGATTATACAAACACAAGTTCTGACACACACACACACACACACACATTCAATCAATTTGCAAACAAAAACAAATAACGACAAAAAAGAAGAGAAAAAAGGAATATGAAAGAAGAAATGATAGTGTGGTCTCTCACACCTTCCTCTGTTAACATATAGAGCAAGACTGGTGCCCCCCCCCCCCTACGATGCCGGTGTCATTATAATGTCTTGACCCACGCTATGCCACCATGCGACCTCACCTGGTGGATGTCTTCTTCCGTTGCTTTGTAAGGCAGTCCTCTCATGTGGATGGAGAAACCGGTCCTTGATTCAAAGTCCCCTCCAGCTCCACCGCCGTAGCCCATACCACCTCCACCCATACCTCCTCCTCCACCCATACCACCGCCGTAACCCCTCTTGAAGTCTCCTGGAGGAAGGAAGAGCGCAAAGTCAAGTGAACACTGTACATAAAGATCACTCAAGGGACACAAGTCATCAACACAAAAATGATTAAAATTTAAAATTTTCAAAAATGTACAAATTAGAATGGCCTTTTCTTTATAGAGGACCTGTAATTATAATATACCCTCCTCTCCATAACTATCTTTCACAGATGAAGACCTGGCCCTTGTTAATGAAACCGCCATTGCAGCAATCGGGCGATGGAAGAACTTAGTTTAATTTCATTTCATTTAATTTATTTATGGAACTTTACACAACTATCTTGATCTAAGGTAGCCTATAATCTAGGCGGAGTGCCGAGCTTTTTTCTTTGCTGCTAGACTAACCCTAAGCAGAACGTCTGATACGGCGAGACTACGAACCGTGAGTCGCGAAGCGGCTCACCGCCTATAATCACTGGTCTAGCTTTAGTCGTTGTTTTTTTATTATCAACCATGAATCCGTGGCAGTTTTTCGTACGAAAAAACCTCATGAATACGAAATGAACTCAACCAATCAGAAACATGTATGGAGAAGAGTCTATGCATATGCATATTATAAATCACGTGACATTACATCATTTTCTTCATCCAAGATGGCGGGTAGTTCATGGGATGACGATCTTCTGCGAGAAAGTTTATCATATGCGGCCAACAAACTAGGCATTCCTAATGGAAAATTCAGAGAACTGCAGGAATCCGCTATTCGTAGCGTTATTGAAGCCGGCAGGGATATTTTTGTTGCATTACCTACTGGTTTTGGAAAGAGTGCAATATACCAAGCAATCTCTTTGTGCTGTGATTTTCTACGCGACCACGGATTCTATGATCATGATGACTCGAGTCGTTGCCGTTGGCAGAACGAAAGTACCGCGGTAAAAACTACCGGTACCACTAGTGGCACTACTGGCACTACCAAAACAACGTTGATCTTTACCATACAAAGATATATGTTTTATTGTTCACATAAAACTACAATTTTTTAATTTTTTGATATTTCACAGTAGTAAAATGATCATTTTAAAGATTTTTTTGGTTTCATCTCCCCTTCTTCCTTTTTATTACCCCTATTTAGTAATGGACGAGCGCAATCTTTTTTCGTTGCGGTTTCTTATATCTGATTGGTCGAACGTAACATAGGTGTACCTTATTTGGTAGGGCTGTTGAATGATTCATAGATCCGCCATTTTGAATATATATGAATATTGATTAGCTAGACCAGTGATTATAGGCGGTGAGCCGCTTCGCGGCTCACGGTTCGTAGTCTCGCCGTATCAGACGTTCTGCTTAGGGTTAGTCTAGCAGCAAAGAAAAAAGCCCGGCACTCCGCCTAGATTATAGGCTAGATCTAAGGAGACACAAACGAACGAACTTATCTTGAGAAGTGACTCAAGGGTGAAGGCACTTGAGAGATTAAAAGAAATTAGTGATATTTTTGTCAACAAACGGGAGAGTTATTCGTCACTACGTCACAATCCCCTGACAAAATTTGCTTACCTGTAATGATCTCTTATTTCAAACATTCATAACTCTCTCATTATTCAATTTGAATTATTTTAAAGGCATTCATCAATTATGACAGATACATCTTTATCCCCCATGCATCAATCCCTAGAATGCTATAAAGGCCTACAACATACCTTTATCATTTGTATAATTATTATTAAAACATCTACAGCTGAGCTGACTTATAACACATATCCTCAACCCCTGTAAGCTTGCAGGGTAGGTCAGAAGAAAAATTATTTCCAATGTTTTCCTGGGGGTGTTTCACAAAGACTAAGATCGACTAAAGTTGGACTTGAACTATGGCAGGCCATTCATGCCACTGGTTGCTCTCACCATTGGTCTCTCAAGGGACGTCACATACTTAGAAAATTTACATTTTTTGATAGTTCATTTTAAGTCGATCTTAGTTTTTGTGAAACACTCCCCTGATGGAAGACTGATCTCTCTTCATGTCAAAGAGGTTTATCAAAAAGCTATCAATTCCAAATGTCAAGGTAAGGAACCTTTTCTTTCTCATAGAAAAAATAATAAATGAAAGCATGCTTTGTGCAAGTTGGCCCATTTTACACAACTAATGCACCTCTTCAACAGAGAAAAAAGATTTTTCTTCATACATGGTTTGTGCAATGCTGTTGACACACCAATTTTTCTCAGAAAAAAATATTTTTGAGGAAATGGTGTTTGTGCAATGCCCTTGATTCACCACTTTATGACAGATTTTTGTTTGTTGAGTACATGCTTTGTGCAATGTAAGCTATTTTATGCCACTGACGCACCTCTTGGCAGAAGCGGCTGAGGTCCACCTCCCCATCCCCCTCTACCTGGTCCTGACATGCCGCCACCGCGCCCTCCGTATCCACCTCCTCTTCCACCTCCGTATCCACCGCCTCCTCCGTATCCGCCGCCTCCACCGTACCCACCGCCGTAACCAAAGTCTTCTTCATAGCCATTCCCTGTAAGATAAGGTAAATGCCAAAATTAAGAGAAAATTTCTTTTATAACAGTCTAACCTTGAACTCAATCATCATAGTCATACCCTCCCAGGTAAAGGTAAATGCCACAAAGAATTATGACTTTTGTAAAACATTGGCCTGCGTTTTGTCTTGCAAACCAGCCCAACGTCTCCATATCATGGCAGCTAAGCTAAATCCTTGGTGATACTGTAATTATTTGTATAACCGGTAATGCTTCGCTAGCCATATTGTTATTATAATTATCATCATCACTAGCAAGCAAAGAGAAAATAGTATGATGTCGGTGACCGATTCTGAATCTCACTCACCTCCATATCCACCAGACCTACGCTCAAATCCAGAATTCCTCATCCCCCTTCGACCCATGCCGCCGCCCATGGGCCCTGAGCGGTCGTAAGGACCGGGACGGCCAGGGACTCCACGAGCTCTGCCTGGGTTGCTGTTGAAGCGTTTAATTTCTGACGCGTTGCACTGGAATACTTCAATGTACCTGGTATTGAAAAAGCATAGTGATATCAATTACTCTTTGCTCATGAAGTGAATCTTTGCTCCCAAACAGTTTTTTGACTAGGCATCTGAGGCAAAATATCTACATGAATAACATTTTAAGTTTAATTTTTTCCATTCTTTTACAAATAGTTTGTTTTTATTACTTAAGTATCTCATAACTATTGAAAACAACATATACAAACCATTGACATTCTCAGGTTCAATTTACAAATCCTTTTTTTACATATATATTATGGCAAGGCTCTTTAAAATGAAGAAGTATTGACGACCCATCACAACTATCTAAACCACCATTTCTTTTAATTTTAAAGTACTTTTACATTGTACACGTCCCATGACTTCTTCAAAACAACCCACACCATTTAGGTCTCTTTACAATATAAATTCAATACTCCATCTTCAGGATGCGATCAAACCTTCATTTTATTCAATCATCATTATTTCTTTATTGTCACATTTTTTTTAATTTATTGATTTTCTATGTATACTTGTTTACAATATGATTGTACAACAGCCTCTGAGGAACTAATACTGCAACAAGCTCTGCTTCTAGTTAGTTCCTCTTTTCTCGTGCCATTACTATATCTGTCTTGTTTCATTGTATATTTTGTGTAATATACTTCTTCATTGTATTATGTTTTGCATAAAAAATAAAATCATTTGAATCTTGACTGGGACAAATCCAATTTTTCTTTTATAAGAAGATTATGTGATTTGATAAGTATAGGGTAACAACTAGCATCTTCCTTAACTACACACAGCTACATGTACCACCAAAATCTCTTCCCACCTGTGACCCATATTGGCCTTGTGCTTTGACAATGCCCCCTCCGCAATGTCCTTTGAGACGAACTGCACATATGCTTCCCCTGTGCTCCTCCCATCGTAGTCTGTTGGCAATGTAATCCCATCTTCTGCAATCTGGTATTCTTCGCATTCACATACGATTTTTGCATGTTCATCGTGAGTGACACAAGGCATATCATTTCCATCCCACCCAGCCAAGGGCAAAGAAGGGGTAAACCAGTTCCACCCAGTTCAGATTGTCGCAAGTTGGTTACCGCCCACCAAGCCCGGCCAAACCAACCAATCAGGGATGGGGATGATGTCACCAGTTGTTTCACCATGCCCACCAAGCCCGGCCAACCAACCAATCAGGATCCACCCCCAGGGTTTGGTTGTAGAGTAGTAAGGCACCGCCCACCAGCCCGTCCAAACCAACCAATCAGGATACAGGATGACCGAAGAGTTGTGAAGCCACGCCCACCAGCCCAGCCAACCACCCAAAGAGGGGTAGGGTAGAATTCATATATAAAGGGAAGGGGATACAAGTACACACATCCAATAAGTATATAGTCATGCACCATAGTCATTTTCCATCATATCTTGAACTCTACGACTGAGCAAACAGACTGATAAATCTTTGATGTCTTTAAACGTACAATACTGATGTAGAGAAACCTAAATATAAACAATTGGAAGACAAGTTCTTATAGCATTTTCAATGACTCTGTTTACATAATTATTTCTCCATTGCCACCTGCCTCCGATATCATCTTTATGTCTTGTTCTTTGGGATTGTTCTTTGATTTTGATTGATAAAAACTTAAATTAAAACATTACATTAAAAAGCTATTCTCGTATCAAGACAGCAATAACCACAAAATATCCACAAGAATTGTATGATCTGCAAATATAAAAATCTTGAACCTTTATATGAGATAAAATATGATTTCATCACCCATTTGAATGACTTAAAATGCAAAAATAATTCATGGTATAACAGCATTTCCTTAGACCTATCTAAAGGCGTGTTTATGCTTAACTTTTTCTGGCCAGAATCAGGCATCTGTTACGCGTTTAGTTTAAAACACGGTTGCGTCCTTTCTCACTTTTGTAGAATCACCGAAAAACGGCGATCACGATCGCCGATCATAAACTCACAAAAAGATGCGTTTACAATTTGTAAACGCGTTTAAATGGGGTCAACGCACTGACCTCTAGTGGGTCTACGCATGGACCATGGTCTACGTATATGCGCAGTGCAAGTTTGCGAATCCAGCTACAAGGCCAATTAAGGCCACCCACGGAGAATTGCCTGGAGGAGCCAGAGAAGTGAGCATAAACAGTACACCGTGGAACTGTGATTACGATGAGCGTTTACGATGAGCATTACAAATCGCTCATTCTGCCTTCAAAATTTAAGCTTAAACGCACCCTAAAGGTCTGGTTACATATCTGAACTAGAACATACCACATTATAAGGGAGATTCAAAAAAAATAATTCCTTACCAAAGTTCAAAGACTCATTGAGTTTTTAAGTCTGTGCATTGTCAAAGTAATCCATGTAAATGACATATCTAATCTAAGCTATCATTATTTATAGATTATTTTCACTCCTGACAATTCATGAAGATGAATGATCATGAATTTCTTTCCCCTAACAAATTTACGTTTAACAAATATTGATAAGGCTCCATAACATTTAGGTCCTAGTACATCAGACCTATAATGTTGAATAAGGAATAGCCTTCAACTCATCAATAATATCATATGAATATCCTAAGGAACAAAATTATCATAGGGCTACTATAATTAAGCTAGACTTTAACCAAAAGGCAGTTTAAGTGTCACTAACCCTTGAAGAAATCATTGATGTCATCAGTTCTGCAGTCAAAGGGGAGTCCCCTGAGTCGGACACACCCGTCATTCTCTTCTTTGGCCTTGTCTCCGCCTCTCGATGTTACCCATTCCATCTCACTGTTCTTGGATCTGAAAACTGAAAAGAAAAATACAAAGAAATATAGATAGCATCCATGAAACCTATTTTTCAATTGTAAAAACTAGATGAGTTTGTGACATGATAACTTCATGATTTGCAAAGTGATTTTCACGACAAGAAACTTTTTAATATTGCAGAAATTAAACTGAACTGGGCATTGCAGCAACATACTTGATCTTATTCTTATTGGCTAACATTAGTAAAGTTCTCCCGTCAGTGTTGGCTTAAAGTACAGTGCCTTCCTTGCCGATAGCCCCCAATGGATTATATTACACTGCCTAGATTTGGTTGCCTAGTGGGCCTGAATGAGGCAAAATTAATTTCTACCAAAAAAGGGGATGACCATACAATTGGACCTAACAAAACCTTGCAAGACTCAAATCATGCTTCAAGTGTGTGTGTGTAATTGGGTTTTTACAGACGTGTATCAATTAGATATGATTATTTACGTCTGGGGACCAACCTTTAACGTCACCATCCAAAAGACATGACTCACTTTCGAACCTGGGTCCTCGGCTGAATCAGTTTGTAACTTCCATTGTTAGCTGGATTACAGGTGCACGCCACAACGCCCCGCTTTGTATCCAATCTTATCAATAAGAGCATCCTAATTGCAAAAATGTTCAAAAAGATACAAAAAATCTTACCTTCAATATATCTGTGGCCGATATGATTGTTGTTTTTCTTGAGGCCCTTGAGGACATCATCGTGAGACTCGAAGACCACAAAGCATTCCCCTGAAGGGCGTCCTCCAGGAAGGTGAACAAACTTGACGCCATCAGCACCTCCCTCAATCACCGACTCTGGGTAGAAATAAAGATAGTAGCAGGGTTTACACAATAGTCTGTTAACTTCATAGGTTTAGGTCGTGATTTCAAACTCCATGGTTATCTTGAAATTGGTGACCATGCACACATGCTTGTGGTTATGAGACTTTAAGTTGACTCAAAGTTACAAACCAAGAGAGATCTGAAAGTTAGCATGATAATTACGAGCAGCCAGGGGTCCTCACTCAAAGTTATGTGCCTTGAGGACGTAATTAACTTCAAAGTTATGCAAATTTGCATTTAGAATGAATGTTTTCTCTGGCCTGTAACTGTGAATACAATGTTGTTTCATATCCTTTTAAACTCTTGTTTAATCAGAAATCAAGCAGATATTAGTCAAGGTGAAATTCTGCTATCTCATATTGTTATTTCAGTAATGTAACTTGCTCATGTGCAATTCAATCTTTGACATCCATTCATTTTGTGTGGTATGCAACATGACTCATATGCAAAAGCCTTGCTTTTCTCTTATAGTGTCCTATGACAGCCCTCTGGAAACATACAGAGACATTAGATTATATTATGTTGTCGGCTGCTTGCAAGAAGGCCATAACTGCCATTGACAATACATAGCATAGGTTACGTGACCTTTCAGCACTGAAAGATACCAGATACTCACCACTGAAGAATGTGACGATGTCCTCTGCGGTGGCTGACCAGGGGAGTCCCCTGGCCCTCACAATGAAACCATCTTCTGACATGCTGCTGGGTTTGGTTGTGTGTTGCAGTCAATCGAGCACTGCTAAGGGCTGTAAAAATTTACAGAGAGAGAACAGGGATTCATTTTGAAAATGCAAATGATTTTAATTATTTTCACACCTAGATCCTTCTTACCAGTACTTAGAATATGGGAAGGGAATTATTCTGATATGTTAGTCTGTGAGTTTGGTATGCATCCTGTGTGTGTAATATGTGATGTGCTATGATGCATTGCAAACAATGGACCTGCCGCAAACACTGTAAGTTCAAGCTATAATTGGATCAGAAAATCAGGAGGAAAATCTGATGAATCTTTTTTTAAAAATCTGCCTCAAAAATGCTGTTTTGGACTTTTGGATAATAATGACAATCAAATAAAATACATTGTGTGCCTACAAAAAAGGGCTTAAATTTCACGACTTTTGGTTAATCCTAGCTAGAATAAAGGAGCCGGTTTTCGGCCACTTAAGACAAAATCCTATTTTTTGGACCCTTTACTTCCTATTTATTATCATTTTTTGTTCAAATCATGAAGCAAATATTATTATTTAAACAAAACAAGAATCCCAGAAAAAAATTACGGATTGCCATGACAATATTCAATTCAATTTTCACTGTTTCGGAGTCAGTTTTCGGCATAGCATACCAGTTTTCGGCCACATATACAAAGTCAATAGGAAGCGCGCGCACGCGCCGTGCATTTCCGCGCTGATCTATAGCACTAGCGGGCGGAGCAGATATCCCACGCCGGAGCTCCCCGGAGCTCGCCAGGCCGAAAACTAGTACTGCGGTGATCGGAAATTGGAATCTGAATTAGACAGAGATATTGTGTGTACGTTGCGGTGTGCGGCTGCATTGATTTAATACATGCAATGAGATACTTTTGAGCTTGAGACTAGCACAAAATCGGGCTCTAAATCTGAAAAATACTTGAAATGAAGCTCATTTTATGGTACCCATATTTCTTACAGACACGCGTAAGATAATCAATTTTTCAGATTCGGGAAGGACCACCGATTACATCGCTAAAATGTGATATTTTAGGATATATTTTTCATTGCAAATGTGGTTCTTCAGTGACACTGGCATGGTATGGTATGTGTGGGATATGTGTTATGCTATTATGCGATGTATTTTAAAGGGATTTTACCTTGCATCCAACCAATCGGCCGAAAACTGGAGCTAATCGATTACCCCCTCCTTTACTCTATGCATTTTTATAGTATTTGATAGCCCAAAAGTTGAAAAGTTTTGGCCCTTCTTCAGGTGGAGCTTGCTGATCGTGCTAAAGTAACCGCTTAATAAAATACCCCTCATTCACGTCTACTTTTATGGGTTGTCCATCTTCCCAAGGATTTATCCTTCATAACATGAAAGTCTCTGTGCAAAGTAAGTGTGAAATCATCAAGGGGCATTATCTGGAAATCCATTTTTCGGATCGCCAACGAGCGGATCGGAAATAAGAATCCTGCATTTTCCTTTTTTTCAGGACGATTTTCGTTCATGCAGATGATCCTTATTCTCGGACAAGTAAGCGCCCCTACTGTCACAACTTCATGTCCATATTGTTTGTACTAGACCTCAACATCTATTTCACCTTACATAATTGATCCACATCCAATTCTAACAATTTATATTTTCAGTTAGAATCGACTGTATCTCAACTGTCCCCCCTAGTCCAGGCATAATTTGATATGACCTCCCACTAATTGCAACAGAAAATGTTTTGACTGTTTTGTGCTCTTGGAGGTGTCCATTATAACATATCAAAAGTCTTAAGGAATCCTGGTGGGGGAAAGTGCCATGGCGGCCATTTTTTTCAAAATGGCCGCCATGTATAACTACTGTTGTACAATTCTAGGGATTACTTTTTAACAGCACCTCATTTTACCATGCGAATGGTGTCATATGAAAGACATTTTAATTCCCTACAAGGTGATACCTCATTCAATAGGTTTCGGGATGATTTACATAGCAATTTTGAGCCAAAAGTGTGATTTTTTACCATTTTTTTTCAAAAATGTGAACTGCGCCAAAATACGTATTTCTCCATATTTATTTGATTATTATGCTAACCGACTTGAAACTTGCTGAAAAACTGTTCAGCATCCTGGTTGATATCATATTTAAATTTCAAGTTTATTGCTTTACTAACTAAAAAGTTATAGCGCTCTAAAGTTGAAACTTTGTTATGAGCCAAAATGGCAAATTTGGTTGCTAAGGGCTATCTTCTCCTTAGCAACGGTAACATATTGGCGTGAGAAATAGAATATATCACGAGAAATTGCTATCACTAAGCAGATGACTACTTTTATAGGAAGTATGATGTCCAATGATGCATTTTCATCCTATTTTCATGATAAATATCGCTTAGTTCCCGTTGCTATGGTAATAATATGCCTGGCAACCGATATGAAACACATATTTTTGTTGTAAATCTAATATTTCCCATATCTCTGCTTCTAAATAACATAGAGTTTTGATTTTAAGTGCTAAACATACATTTCCAGGGACAAGGAATCAAATTAATTAGATTTTAATGAGCTAAACCTAGCCAAAAAGCCGAAACGGCAGCCATTTTCCAAAATGGCCGCCATAAAACTGATATTTTGCAATATCTCCGCTTCTAAATGACTAAGGGCTTTGATTTTCAGTGCAAAACATACATTTTCTGGGGTTAGGAATCCACTGACACAAATTTCAATAAGCTAAACCTGACCAAAAAGCATTATTCTGAGGATGTGTCAACTACATACCATGGAATGCCGTATGCCTGATGGACAACGTACATGTATAGGTCATAATTATTCAAGGACAATATCTTAGAATCCTGTGACGAAAGGAAGGATGCCTGGGCAGAAACAGTCAGAGCCCGTGTCCTCTATGTGCATGACCTTCATGCTGCAGATGCAGTGTACCACCAGGTCTGTAGTGTTAACTAATGCTGTGATGTCTCATGGAACAGACATACCTGATTTCAGTTCGGAGTTTGTCCAGGATGCTGCAGACAATGTAGACAACAACATCCGTACCCTTGATGGTAACAACACATTCCATGGCATGGTGATGATTGCTGCCATAACCCCAGCCACCAAGACCAGCAGACCTACCCTCAGGGCGCAGGTCACCTCCAGCGATATCTCCACGGTGGGACGAATTCCTATCCATGGCCACAAAGAAGAGAGCCGCGGTATGACAACACTGGCATACCAGAAGGTGGTCAACATGAAGGCAAAGGACCTACCAGCAGACCTTGATCTCCTGTGGAAGAAATCCGTTATGTTCACCTCACCAAGACCGGCATGGTCTGGACTGATGCAGCTAGTACATCATGATGTTTCTCCCAATGATCGACATGAATCCCAGCAATGTCACTTGCATCTATTCCACACTGAAGTTTGTGTGTGCATGAGCATGCTTGTCGCCATGGTGTTACACCCATCATCACCTTTGACCAACCATTATGGTGGCTAGCCCTCATGATCATCGAGACTGAGCCCACAGGAAGTGTTTTGAATGACATGCTTTTGCGCCTGGGAGGCTTTCACACAGAAATGAGTTTCTTGGGAAGCAATCTATGCAGATAACGCGGTGGTACACATGATGTCAAGCAAGGCTATTGCACGATCAATACGGGGACATCTACTTGTTGATGCAGCACTGAACGCCTTGATTTTGTCAGACGCACTTGGTGTGCCACTCCCTAAACCATCTGCAGATCCACATGAAGTGGAGGAGACCAATGAGGCAACAGTACCACCAGATGATGAGCCTATGACAAACGGAACTGGAAACGCTGATCTTGATGAACGTGCTGCCCTCTACAAGAATCTGACGGAAGGTTCCGTGTCTGCAGAGGAGTTCTGCCAAGCTGATGTTTTAACCAGAATTGAGAAGCTCCTCCGGGGCAAAACCGAATCCTTGAAGTCCTCTAGGACCGCCACACTTTGGCTACAGTACATGGAGATGGTAGACATTAGGCCTGAGTCATGTCGGGATTTTCATAAACCGGGTCCCGACGGCCTTGCACCGGTCGGGACCCGGTGTCCCGAAATCAGCTCGCAGGATTTGTCACTTGCCTCTATAAAAAGCGCATATCATCAGTATGTCCCTTAAAAGTGACATTTTTATCAGTCAAATAAATCAACACATGCATACCTTGGCACAGATTGGTATATTCTTCCATTTGACATTATATTTATCCATGATTGGCGATGTTTAGTGCCATTATCGTGCCTCTAAAAGTAAAAAAACTCGAGCAAAAATGTAAAGACTACAATCGAGCCGCCATTTTGATTTATGCAGGTTGAATAAATCTGGTCAAAAAATATGAATGTTAGAATAATAAAACGGCTTTCTAAAAATTCTTCTGTACAATATACCGATCATATAATATTTTAAAGACAAAAATAAATATTTATCTCTTATTTTAAACATCGCATGCTTTTTTTTAAAAGCTGAAAATTACTTGGTAATCACAAGAAGTTTCGATACGAATAGCTGTTGCAAGGCAAGTTCAGACTAGTCTCGGAAAAATGCGCAGTGCTCCTCGTTATCTGTAATGCGTGCCAGAACGAACCCAAACAAAGACGTGATCGTAACGAGAAAAAAATCATTAAAAACTACGAGAGCACAATTGGAAAGATATACTGCTCAAAATTACCATAATCAGATACATAACTTGGACAAAGAATTCAATAATCGCCCAAGAAATGCCACAGAAATTGTGATAATCGAGGAGTAACTGGGTACATTTTTATCGCAAGGGGCCTGCTGCAAATACTCGAATCCTTTGTTATACTGCTTTTTACCGTAGAGGGCGGTTTTTGCCTCGTGTTCAATTTAAACACGTTTAGATATATTACAGCAGGCCCTTCCGATAATGATTGTACCTATAGTAACTCATTAAATATCACTATTTATGTGGCTTTTCTTGGACAACTATTGTATTCTTCCTCCAAGTTATGTATCTGCTTACGATAATTTTGAGTAGTTGTCTTTCCAATTGTGCTCTCGTAGTTTTTAATGATTTTTTTCTCGTTACGATCAC